GTGACCTCTGACTTCTTAAGTTCATACTTTGATTGCTTATAATAGAAGCGATTATCTTGTAATCAATGTAGCTCTTTTCATAGATGTTGCTCATGTTCCTTAATGATTTTACTATACAATAGGATATCATTGACAAAGACATTTACATACTAATCCAAAAGATCCCAAAACAATTTATTCATGTAATCTATGAAGGACGCTAGAGTATTGGTGAGGCTAAAAGGTAAAATAAGCCATTCAAAATGTCCATAGTGTGTACAAAATGTTGTATTTTTTATATCCTCTTTTACAATAGGTGTTTGCCAATAGCCATTCTAAAGGTCCAATTCGTTAAAGATGATCACACCTTGAAATTGGTCAAGAAAATTCTCCACGCATAGAAGTGAATATTCATTCTTAACAGTTTGTTTATTAAAGCCCTGATAATTAATGTAAAGTCAAAGTCTACTATCTTTCTTGGATTCAAAGAATACAAGTGCTCTCTATGGTGATTTGCTTTCTTAAATGAGGCACTTCTCTAAGAGTTTAATGAATATTTTCTCCAGCTCTTCAAGTTCAATTGGTGTTAGGTAATAAATTGGCCAACTTGCTAGTTTGGCCTTAAGCAATAGTTCTATTTGGAAGGAGGCATCTTAATCAAGAGGCATGCGACTAGGTGGATCAATTAGAAAGACATCTTGATATTCCCATATGAGTTGATCTACTCATTCTATTCCTTCGATTGTCTTTTTCACCATTGATGCAAGATTTGGAACCACCATATATATCGTTTGCTTATGTTGTATTTTTTTTCTTCATAAAGGCCATCTCTACTAATAAGTCTTTAGCTACAATTTTTTTTTTCCTTCTCACTCAATGCACAGGTACAAAGAATCATCTTATGTATACCATCTTTAAAAAAGATTGTGTTTATTAGCCAATCAATTCGTTTATTTTCCACCTTTAGCCATGGCATATTGAGGATAACATCATATCTTAGCTTTATTACCTTGAACTTCTCTCTTAAGATATAAGTATGACTCAAACTTAAGGTTACTTCTTCACATATCTGAATAAATATATTTTCTCGATCATCTGCAAGATATATACTACCTTCTTTGATTATCTTAATTTTAATTCCAAATTGGTTGGTAATTTTAGTCGAGATGCAACTTTTTGTAGAGCCACAATCTACAAGCACTTGACATAGGCTCTATCTCATTATCAACTTGATGAATCTCAAGGCAATGAACCCACCTTGATTTGTTGGTGCTTGAATTTTGATATTTTGGACAACCTCCGATCTGATGGCCTAGCTCTAGATAATAGAAATACAATTCCTTTTGCACCAATATTTGTCGTCTTTTTGGTATCAATGATCCTTCAAAGACATCAATCTCCATTCGTATTGATTGTTGTGCCATAGTATTAGATAGCAACATATGACTTTGTGTTCAAGGTTGTGCTCTACAATTTCTGAAATCTATAGCATCTACCCTCTCTGCAATCCTAATTGCATCTTTAAAAGTTTATAGATCTCTTAATTCTACATCTTGCTAAATATCAGGTTTCAATCCTTATAGAAATTGATCCATCATCTTTACCTTTGAAACATTATAAATTTAGAGACTTGAATCAAGAGACGTAATTTTGCATTGATCTAGATTGTATAAGATTTTTCAATTGATCGAGTACTATCTTTTCCGCATTGATGGGCCAAAATTGATTCCTAAACTTGGCCTTAAATTCCTCCCAATCACAAAATCCACCTTGAGCTCCATAGCTTTGAACTTGATATTGCTATCAAATAGCTGTTACATCTTTCAAATAGTTGGCTACATATATAATTTTTATGGTGGTATTTGCTTAGATAGTTAGAAGTATTGTTGCATGTTGAAGAGCCATTGGCATACATCTTCTTGCCTTAAAGTGCCAGAATTTGTACCAGGCTTATTCAATTTCAGCCTAACAAATGTCAACTCCCTTGTCTTAGAGGACTCTATTTGCTCTTGTAGAGTAGCTATCTGCTCTAGGATGTGTTGTATCTGAGCTTTCATCTAGGATTATTCCATCATATCTCCCATGTTGCAATTTCCTTGCTCGACTCTACTATTGTAATGCCTCCTCTCCTTCCAACTGACTTCTTAAGAATAGGTCATGGTAGCCTCAATAGAATATTAGTATGATCACAATATTGACCTTAAAATACAGAATGTCTATTGACATGCTACAAAAGAACATTCTTACACTCGCTTTGATACCAATGAAATGAGACTAGACTATCTTAAAATTCTAAAACCTTCAAATCCACAACAACATAAATTCTATCACAACGTAGGATAGAGCAAGCTACAATAAAAGAAAATTGAACAAAACTAAATAGGAATATGGAAAATCAAACTTTATTAAGAGAAAGGGTCAAAAATCATATCTAATTAGTTGCCTAGATGGCTCTGGCTAGTCTTATTTACAATTTGTCCAACTATCTTAGAACTTCCAAAAATTATTTTTTTATAGAGGACTCTACCTAAATAACCTCTTTGAATACTTTCTAGAATGTTCTATAGTAGGCCCTACCTAGATAACTATCCTAAGCTTTTTTAGAATGTTCCATGGTGGATCCTACATAGTCCACTAATCTAGCCTCAATTCTAAAAACTTCTATATACTTCTCAAACATGGCTCCGACTATCTATATATATATATATATATATATATATAAATCAATAATACAAATATCTTATCTATACTCCATTACATTATAAGTCGTTTTATAGAATTTACATGCCATTTTATAAGTCGTTTTATAAAGCTTTGCATATATGTATATTAAGAATGTAGATATTAAGCTCAAAGCTACATACAGTGGCTCTCATTCACCACAATCACCCTTCTTGGTTTTCATCAAAAAACTTAATATTATCTGGAATTTATAATTCTTTAATCCACTAAATTTATTAAACCAATGGAAAAGGTTTTGGAAAAGCATCTTCAATGATCTCAATGCTTGTTTGCAAAGAGAATATAGAATTAGCAATCCTATAGATGAACAAATTAAGGATTTTGGACTTTCCTTGCTAGATAAGATTTTGCAAGTCTCCAATAAAACACTTGTACGATTTCTTCCAATGCCATTACCAAGAAATAATTTAAATACAATAATTATTAGAAATCAATTTATTGGTGAAGAAAGAACATGGAACATTCAACAATTAGAAGCAAATTTATTGGTGAAGAAAGAACATGGAACATTCAACAATTGAATCTTCAACAAAAAAAAGGCATATGATGATATTATGGCCTCTATAATGAAAGAATATGGACGCATGTTTTTTCTAAATGGACGTATACAAACTAGTAAAATATTTGTAAATAATATTTTGGCAATTAAAGTTTGATTGATGCAAAAGATTTTCATATTTGTTGCATCATCAAGAATTACCACATTACTACTTAAAGAAGGAAGAACAGTCCATTCTATGTTTAAAATTCCACTAGATTGTAATAAAGACTCTTTTTGTTCAATTAATAAGAATTCCAACCATCCTAAGTTTATTTGCCAAACTGCGCTTATTATTTTGGATGAACTTCCAATACAACATTATTATTGTCTTGAGGTAGTTAATTGTTCTTTTAGAGACATTAGGAATATTAATCCCGCATTTGGAGGATCTACAATAGTTTTTGGTAGAGATTTTTTCCAATTATTGTAGGAAAAAAATCATTTTATCTACATATAATGATAATGTAGAGGATATTTATAAGAAGATTATGGCCATATTTTTTTAGATAAGAACAAGAATATCTAAGCATTGATGAAGTTGTTGTCAAAGATGGTGTCAACAACAATAATGTTTATCCAATCAAATTCATCAAGTCACTTAATCCATCTAGAATGGCCATATCGAGGCTTTATCTTAAGATTGAGACTCCAATGATGCTACTGAGAAATATTACTTCTTATCATGGACTTTGCAATGGAACTCAATTGATAATTACAAGACTAATAGATCAAGTTCTTAAAGCAAGAATTTTTAGAGGGAAATTTGCTAGAAACTTGTTCATTCTGCAGATTATATTAACTTCCATAATAAAAGAACTTCCATTCATTCTAAACAGAAAGCAATTTCCAATCTGTCTTATATTTGCAATAACAATAAACAAATCCCAATGACAATCGGTGAAGCACATTGCTATGGATCTACAACAATGTATTTTTTTTCCATGGTCAACTTTATGTAGCACTCTCTCAATGCACTTCCTCCCATTCTATCAAGATTCTTCTGCCTAAAAAGGACAATTAAAATTTCATGCTAAATATTGTTTTTTCAAAAGTTTTAATTAGATAAATATTAGTAATTCATTTTTTGTATTTTGTATTTTTATTCATTTATTTCTTGACTTAAATACATCTTTGAATGTCTTAACATGGATTCATCTAGTCCAATATAATATTCATGTATCAATAAATGTAAATAAAGAATTAAATATCTTATATTCAATATAAAAATTATAATAATAATAAATAAAATCTTGGTGGTATAAAACATAATTAGAAGTGAAGTGATTTTTTTCATTACTCTGTGAATCCAGTTCGATGGATTTGAAGCCGTGGAAATATCAAACCTTGACTTCAAGAAGTGAATTGAGATAAACTTATCACAGATGTGAACAGAGACCTAGACATGACATAATCTCACTATTTATTCATGTCATGGGATGTCGAGATCAGTAAAGTGCAGAGAAAAATTGTATGAAAGTCTTTCTGAAATTCTTACTTCAGATTGAGTGATTTATCTACTATCAATTCTACGCAACAACGTTAATATCATTCAAATCCAAGTAATTTGTGTAGTGAATTTTCTCATGAAATGTCCCTAGGTTTGAGAAGCGAAGTGGGAGCTTAGAGTGGTGCCTTGATAGACATGGAAATCAAAGAAACCTTCCAGAAATTAGTAATTAAAACCATCCAGTCACACAACCAACATCAGCACCCAAACGAATGAATAGAACAGAGTCGATACTGCCAGAGGATTAACTGAGATTTCTCGTTTACGTAATATACCAAGTACGAGCGAATCAACAAACGAGAAATCTCAACTTCATGTGCAAAAATTCCACATGGATTTACACATGAAAGATTATGCAGTGTAACATTTCTAAACATATTCTGCATCGAGAAAATGGCATAAAACCTTCAAACTGGCCACTTCTAACTCGTTCTTTTCCATCACCTGCCTATCAGGACTCACTTTGTGCTAGAAGATGTCCTAACAGTAAAGTGCACAACTTTCGAACGTGTATCAGGCCTAATCACGTTTGAGGGGCATGGTTTCTCTTCTAATCCCGTCCTTGTTAATGATCACAATCTCTACACCGTCACCCTGAATTACATCCAGTACTTTAAGTAAGTACAGGAAAAAAGTAATAACCACAGTCGATCACATAAATGTGGTAAGAGATCAAAATAGACATGTCTCAGGTTTGTCTAAAAATAGAAACAGATATAAATTTCGTATAAATGTCATAATAACAAAATAACAAAACAAAAATTACCGTATAAATATCACGCTCAGCAGCCGAGGCAAAAGTATCCTTGATGAGATCGACCGCCTCGTTCTCTGTCAAAGGAGTTGATGACTCCTACACTCGAAAGAACGATTGAAAATAAAAATAATTAAAAAGGAAAGCGCATGAGCATCAAAACACAATCGCTAAATAATACCACATAAAAGGCATTTAGAACTACAATTTCAAATAATTCCATAGAACAAACGACACATAAGTCGTAAGTTTTCACGCTCACCCTTGGTGGTAGGACAAGAGGACTAGCAGACTTCAGTTGGTTGTCCAGGACAGGCATGATAAGTGTCTGACCAGAACCTTGGGAACTATATCCCGAACGTTCGTAGGAACCAACAGCGTCATATGTGTACACGCAGCCTTTACCTGCGTGCCAAAACCCAAAATAAATGTAATAAAAATGCTATTCAATGAATGTGCACAACGGTTTGTCCTCACCACTTAGCATTGTCCAGACATGGAAGAAGCCAGACTAGTTTTTTCCATGTATAATGCTTGCAGAACAGCATGGTCCATAATAATAATAAATAATAGAGTACGCGGTCATCCGATATTCCTAATATGAAGTCGATCAAAGCCTACCAAACAATGTAATACAGACGATACTAGTACCACGTAAATGTATTTGACGAGACAGATCTACGTACCTTCATTGTCCAAGCCACCAAGCACGTTAAATGCGTAATAGGGAAAGAATCGCTTGTAGTAAAGTGTATTTGAAAGCAGTTGTGCCATAGCTGGACAGCTCATCTGCTTGTTATGCTGGTGCTGATAAATCTACATACATGAAGGAAAATGCTTCAGTTTCTTAATGTCTGCTAATTACTCTACAAGCGACTAATGCACCAACACGCGAGTATCTGGATTCTGTACCTGATGCCGGGCGTCCAGGTTCTTCTGAAGAGATCGGACGTCCGCCTGAAATCCAGACGACGCCAGCACGCACTTCTCCGTTCTGAGCAATCCAAAATACACAGATGTGATCTCTTGTACGCATATAAATCCTAGTCCAAACCCTAACCTAATTACCACTCACTCGACATTTTAAGGCAGAGTATGCTCTATTACACAAGAAAGGCAATCATTTGATCATAGGTTAAAACTGAACAACAGTTGAGAAAGATCACATGCACAAACCCACATCTGATGAATTTTCGAGTAATCACGAGTCAGAATGCTGAACCCAGTAGACATCCTCGTATCAGCAGCAATCACACAGTAATCTGCACCAGCTATAGCCACGCATGTCCTGCGCATTCACCAACACAATCAGCATTTCGTATGCATGGAGCTTGACCGAAAAGCGGTGGAGAAAACGGCAAACTAACCGGGATAAATTGGAATCATCACACGCATTTAGAGTCATTGCACTGGTTTCTCCATTTCCAAAGTACAGGAAGGGCGTGAGAAAAAAGTCACCCTCCGTTGTTGTCGTAGGGACTCCAAGAAGCACCCGCATGTGAACTGGGTGCGGCTTCAGCCATGCGAGGAGCGAAAACCATCGACATCTTTGAAACTTTCTGTTCTCAGTGATATCCTCAAACTTCGAAGAAAAGCCTGTGCAGAGCCCTACACTGCACAGATCGGTGTAATAAGATCAACGTTACGCTATACTATTTGGACATTCATCAAGCCAAAAATAGATTTTACAGCACCCAGCAATTCTGGATGTACATTTGCTTCGACCTGACTCGTACGGGTCCAGAACGCTTGAAAATTGGACTTGGAAGAAAACCCTACAAAATTCAGTCCCTAGCCTTGTAAAAAAAATTCAAAATCTAGTATCAATATCAAAAGACACAGAAAAACCAAATTGATCTTCAAGACGCCCAAAACCTAACACTAGACTTCAAACAAGCAAAACACAGGACCGAAAACTGCGCAGCAGCTGATTTTTCTAGAGCATCGCAAGTGACTCTCCGAAGCGATATAAGAGCTCAAATAGCATTAAATTACCTCCCAGACAGATAACGTCACGTGCCCTAACAGAGACAATGAACAACCTGGAGTGAAACGTTGAGGCAAAAAAATGCAAACACAAACTGATCAAGGACCACCGGAGCAGCACTCGGGACCAAAATTCCACTGAGAAGAAGGACAAGCCCAATACTGGCACGTTGAGAGTAGAAGAAAAGTAGGGCAAGCTTGAGCTGCAAAGATGTTGACAAACAAAACAGAAGGCTAGCTTGCAACACGTGAGAAAACTTGGAGCAGACGGAGTGCCCCGATTGAGAACCGGCCGTTGAGGGTATCGGGGGATATCATCAACTCGGCAACCTGCACAGTTGTAGATGAATTTGTTTATGGATGACGCCTACCCCCCACGAGGCTCATTCATCCGCTGCTCTCGAACTCCCGCCCTTTCTCCTGCCCCAACCTGGGCAGCCCACCCAAATGAGCCAATGAATACACCTGAAGCCCTAATCACCTTGAGAATTAATTAAATTCAAAAAATGATAAAAATTTTAAAATGTTTTTAAAATTATTAAATTTATTTTAATTATAATTTTTATTATTTAAATGTAAATTATTTATAAATTTTAAATATTAATGGATTTTTAAAAAAACATTTTAAATTAAAAACAACTATATATCATTAAAGAAAAATATTCTTAATTTTAAAATATTTCACAACATCTTGGGATAATCATTTTATCTTTGAGTAATATGATAATAATTAGATTAATCCAAAATAAATATTGCTATATAAATAAATATATTATAAAGAACATAATATATAATAGAAATAATAATAGTAATGGTAATAATAATAAATTTTGAAAATTTGTTGTTATGGAAGTAATTTTATCATAATAAAAACATCTAAAATTTGCAATGAATTTCTTGCAAGTATAAATAATTTCATATTCCTATTTTATTATTGCTATAACTTATTTTGCTTTACCTTCAATCTAATGCATTGGATAAAGCCAGTAGGTAGGTAAAAAGACAAATAGAAAAAATAACAATAAATAAATAACAATAAATAAAATACGACTTACAACATGGTGCCACTACAAAATCCATTAGAAGATACAACTTTTTAAAAGGAAAAAAATAGAAAAAAGGAAAAAGAGGATAATATACAATTTGTAAAAACACTAATAGAAGCACATAGAACTGCTTAAGATTGCTTCTACTTTTGTCCTTGCTCTTAATTAATAATTAGTAGAACAAATTCTTTAGTGGGATTAAATCTATTTCCACCAAAAGCATCAATGTTTCATTCAATTATTGTTCTCTTATTAGTCCAAGTTAGCTTTTTGGAGAAATGTACTAAATTGTATTTTCACTTAACCCCCCAAAATGAGTGTACTAACTCCTACTCATTTCATCTTCTCAAGTTTCATTGCCAAAATAAAAGAACAAAATATTTGACTATTTCTAATAAAAACCATCACATCTCTCCTCCAAGCAAATAATGTTGCAAAGTTCTTGTTCCTTGCTCAATAGTTTAAGAATTACTAATTTACAAGCAACTGCTTCAATAGTTTTACGAGGTATTGTTTCAAACCAACCATCACCTAAGTCATTTTGGAATACTTTGATGTGTGTGATGTCTACATTCTTTTGTTTCTTTTGTGAACTAGTGGGCTTTTCAGAGTCATTTGCAAACCCTGTAATTCCTAAACCCTAAACCCTAAAACTTGGCATCACATTGTCTTTTCTTTCATTCAGTTACTAGCTGCTGCCAGTTTCAGTCACACCAGCCGAACAAAGTCTGTGATGATCGTCTAGGAATTGCTAAAAGGATACAAAAGTATGGCCCAACCTTAACATCACAAATTGAGCTGATAAAAGTAAATAATCCCTATGTATTTCGAAGTTCTGAATCCTCCGCATTGTTGTAACTACACGATACCAGGAATGTAACTAAGCTTTGAAATGAATTGGCACACGATACCTGCAATACTACGATTCCTCTTCTGAAAAGAGTACAGATATCACAAAACTCCGATATAGGAGACTCTATACATTACGCGCTCCGTCCAGAATAGCTGTAAATGCAAATGAATGCTTCCAACGCATTCAACAATGCAGAGATAATTAGATCCGGTGCCATGGATAAATCACATCAGACGGCCTACGTAATTGGCTTGAGGGTACTTCGTCTTCAAGTCTTTCCACTGCACGAAAAACTGATCTGCAAGTCTGAGCTTGTATAGCAATAAGCCTGTAAGCGATAGCTTCTTCACCCGCGCAATGCTCTCCACGTACACAACCACAACCCATCTCCATCCCACAAGCTGCATTCTTAGCAAAGCATGTGTTAGAACTTGGGTGACAAATTCAAAAGACAGTATGTGAACAAGTAAGGAAGCTATTTCAGATGATTATTCAAGCGCAATGTCGGAAGATGCCCAAACCCTAAATTGCGGCTATGATGCCAAGAGTGATTACAATCCGGTGATCCGAAGTACCTTAAGCAGGAAACCAGCCACACATATCGGTAAACAGGTCCCGGGCCCATTACATAGAATCTGCGACCCGATTAGAACAAGACCTGTGAGTATCGGGCAAAACCTTAACGAGGAATTTCTAAACCCATCATAATAAGTAGGTAGTAGATTTAAAACTTAACAACATTGAATGCAGAGTAAAAACACCCATTCTGTCAGAAATAAGGAATCACGTGAAGAAGAAAACAAGAAAACAAAAGCTTACAAAATTGTGTGTTAACCAAAAGGTGCAATTTTTGGGAACTTACAACATCCGGCTGTATACGCAAAACTTGTACAACAGAATGAGCAAACGCCCACAAAGTCGTGAAGACTGAAGTTACATACGACTGACCCACTTCACGGCTTCGGTAAATCTTAGAGTACTGACTCCTTTGAAGCCATTCATCTGCAGCCTTGGTATCCTGTCATTCTGCCAGATTTCAGATCTTTAAAAATCCTAACACTGCCTACAGAATTCTGGACATACAAAGACGACGGTAAGTTCATTGCAGGCTCCGAAGTCTGCTACAAAGAGGATTCGTTCACAAGGAGACAATCGGGATCGAGACATCATGTCTTCGATCTGATTCACGGAATCGAAACGCCACAGCGCTGAAAATTAAAATGCAATCGAATTGAAGTGATCAAAGAGAGTGCCCTGCATCCCAACTCCTCGCAAACCTACCTGATCTGAAAACTGGGCGCTTTTCAGCAGCTCAGCTTCAACTCTTTCAGCTCTGGGCAGGCTCATGTTATCAGTGGCACCAGCAATGTAATGCCGCGGGGCATAGCGCTTCAAGTCCATCACTCGAACCAAGCTCATCATCTCCGCTGTATGACCACCTGAATGAGCTCCAACCACCAAGTGATCAATGCAACTAAAATTTCAAATGTTAACGCCCAAAAAGCATGGCTACACAAAAACACCACTCAATTGAACAAACATATATACAGTTCAGAAGGGTGCACTTACCAGATCCCAGCACGATGAGCGTGCGCAGAGGCCGACGCTTCACACCCGACTGAGCCGGTAACGCCCTCCCAGTAATCTGAAGCACCCAAACAGCTCGCACCACCAAAAGGGTAACAATCGACGCCACCACCAAACCCCAGGAACCCCACACAGAATTCGTATCCATCGCAATCCTCCTCACCGAGACCAACGAAGATATCACAAAATCCCAGTTGAAAACGGCGAATTCGCTGGCACGGAGAGATTATTAGCCAGACGAGTCGCCTTCGAAGCTTATGGATCCACGGGCGCCATGGCAATCCTGCTCGCCATGCTCAAGCCTCATCGTTTGTTGTTTCCTCACTCGCTCGCCGACTCCCCTCACAAGCTCACGTGCGTGCATATGTTGATGTTTTACGCCACTCAGCGTCGTGATTAGTCAGCTAATGACACTTAGGGCTCCGCTAAGCTACTCTGCTAATCGTGGTTGGTGTCTCGTGTGCTGTGTGTTGTTGTCTTGTGCATTGAACTGTTGGGATATGTCGAAGATTTTTGACTTTGACATGAAATGGGTTAAGGAGATCTTTCATTTTCTTTCTCTCTCTCTTTCATTCCCTTTTTTTTTTTTTTTTTTTTTTTTTTTTTTTCAATTGGGTATTCCTTAGATCTTATCTAGAGATGTTTCACTTTCATACACTTGTGAGATATGAAGGTTAGCTGTTTCAAGTTGTGTAATAGTGTATAGTATTGAAATATAATCATTCAAACAATTTGGACCAACATGGTATTTATGGAGGACATCTAACCAATCTGTTTCCGAAAAGTTCAAGGCAAATTATTCACACATGCAAAGATTTCATCATCTTAAAGTTTTCCTACATTTACAGTTACAATTACAACTGTGCAAAAAAGATGTTTTGTTTTTGAGTGCGTAACAAAATTTGATATCTTTACATTTTTGTGATCCTTGATGGTGACTTATTATTCAATTTTGAAAGTGTTCTTTTCATGAGTCATCCATAAAAATGGCATTATTTAAGGATCGAACAAAATAATCATGAAATTTAAGAAATTATAATTTTTTTGCATATATGTTGCATTATATGCATGCATTTTCTTAACATGTGCTCCTCGATATTATTATTGTATTTGATTCACTGTGACCATCATTTTAAGTTTGTGTGCTCGATGTTGGATTTTTGTAATCTTATGTCTTACCTGGTGTTTTCTCTTTCTTTTTATTCACTTGTACTGGTTTCACAGATTATCCTAACATCTTTGAATTTAACTTTAATGTGTTGTAGTTATAAACGTTGAAGTAAATGATTACAATTATAATTTTGATATATCGACGCAAATTTAGTTTTATTGAACTAGAAAGATCGCCATTATTGAACTAGTTATTTAAAAAATAACGTAGATGGTGTTAGCCTGCAATACGAAACAATTGCATATCAGTTGTTGAATATTCTATGTTTATTTTTGGTGATTCCTACAAAATTATTGACATTCTGTAATTCCTAATTAGTTTATACATTTATAAGTACCTTCCGAACAGGATTCATCCAAAAATATCATCCAGACATTCATTGATCACTCTCCTGCCTTGCAGATGCGCGGAAGTCTGTTGATCACGCGATCATACAAGTTTATTCGCGGAGCGTGTTCATCGGCCCCGCAGGCTGTGATTTCTACGAAAGGCTGGAGCCTCGGAGAGTGTCTTTGTCCATGTGGTCTCAGCCGGTGCTTGCAGAGACAGCTTGTTGTGTTGAAGGGCGATTTCTGGATTTATTTATTTTTTATTTATTTTTTTGTTTTTTTGATGCTGGGGGTTCATGTAGGTGACCAAGTGTGTTGTTAGGGTTTGGAGGTTGGGCGAGGAAGCGTGCTGTGTTTTTTTGGTTGTGAATTTGGTTCTGGTTGCGGGAAAGAGAAGAGGAACTGTCGAGTAGTGGAAGGGGTTTTCAGGAGCAATGAAGATCACTGCGTTGTTGGTGCTGAAAGCGCCTGTGGCCCAAGGAGGAGAGTCGCTTATGTTAGCTAACGCCTCGGATGTGTCGCATTTCGGTTTCTTCCAGCGCCAGGCCGCGAAGGAGTTTATTCTGTTTGCGTCGCGGACCATAGCGGGACGGACTCCTCTTGGACAGCGCCAGACTGTTGAACAGGACGGTGAGTTCTCTCGCCTTGGCTTTCTGCGAATGATTTGCTTTATTTTATTTTGAAAAAGAAAAAAAGAAAAAAAGGAAAAGAAGGAGTCCTCCACTGGACCGATGTTGAGTTGCGCAGATGATTTGCTCTCCCGGTTATTAATAGGCTGACCTTTTTTTCTCGTGAATACTCATGCCAATTGAGTCGAAGTTGTAGTTTGCGACCTTTCGCTTAGTGAATCCTTCTACTTTAGTGTGATACTTGTCGAGAGGACATGATCATGACGCAGACCTCGTCCATGTTTCGATTGAGCTGGGATCTTTCTCGGCGCAGTTATGATGCAATTTTTTTGTTATAGGTCTTTGTTGATCAGATTTGCTTACGAGAGTTTGAAAAATGGGGCTCTAAGACATTTCCCTTCCCCTTTGTTCTTACGCTCTGCAAACAGAGTACGTGGTGCATTGCTACAACCGAAGTGGACTTTGTGGGCTAGTCTTTGCTGATAAGGAGTACCCCCTGAGGAGTGCTTTCTCGGTCATTAACAAGGTTTGTTGAGTATAGCTTGTGATTTTGGGCTGCGCTGTAAATGAGTTAGGAAGTCGCTAAGTTACAGTTGAACTCTCCTTATCGACAATGCATGCCGCGCTCTCATTGTAAAAATTGCCAGAAACCAGAATCGATTTTTCGATTTGAAGTACAACTTAGACATTTTGAGAAAGGGTGGGACTGGCATCTTTCGAGTCTGGTTGATCCAAACTGATTGATTCGGTTTGCAGGTGTTAGATGAATATCAGAAGACTTTTGGTGACTCTTGGAAGATTAAGAATACAGACAGTACCGATGCATGGCCTTTTTTACCAGAAGCTCTTGTGAAGTACCAGGTTTACTTTCAACCAGAATTTTGGTTTGGAATGGGGACACATACTTGACGGAGTGCTTAATTGTTTCTTCATGTGGGGTTGTTGATTTTCTTGAGGACCTTGGTTATTCTGTTATTGAAATCTCTTAAGATGGATCAAGTCGGAGACAACAGGATGTTTCTGATTTGTACTTGCTTCTGAAGTGATTGAGTGGGAAATGCTACAGAATCCTACTGAGGCTGATAAACTGGCCAAGATCCAAAAAGATTTGGACGAGACAAAAGTTATCCTGGTATAATACTTCTCTTCTCCATCTCGCCCTTTATACAAAGCGCTGCCAGGAAACAGTTAATGTTCATTAACTTAATATCTCAGTGTTGACTGTCATTTGACATGAATCACATCGTAACCGCATTAGCAGAATATGTTTCCAGGATGATATTGTTGTTCAGTGACATCCCTCTTTTCTGTTTGCCTATCTGTTTAGGATATGTGGTTTCGTTATTAGAAAAACATTTTCTTACGCAATCATGAATGAATGTGTACTTCAGCATAAAACAATCGAAAGCGTCCTTAAACGCGGGGAGAATCTCGATAATCTGGTTGACAAGAGTAACGACCTAAGCTCTGCTTCACAGGTACAGTTGCTCCTTTCGTTATTTACACTGCTTGCGTGTTAAATTGTTTTGTAATTTAGAAGGGTTTATCTTGTAAGGGCGTCGATTTTAACCAGCTCAAAATAAAGGATGTGTTGAATTTGTGTTTATGGCACTAAGTCTTTGCCTCTCTGGATTGCAGATGTTCTACAAGCAAGCCAAGAAGGCTAATCAGTGCTGCACCATTTTGTGAACACATTTTTTGTTAGGGTCTCACAATTCCCTACTAAGCTCTACATTTCGATTGCCCACTCAGTCCGGCAACTAGTGGTGTTGGTACTGAGCATTTTTCTTTTTTGAACTTATATTAGAATGGACACTGCAGATCTCAGGTGTATAGGCAGAGGTTCATTCTCCTGTTGCACATGGGGATGAAACTTCAACCTAATGTAGAAATTTACCTGGTCCTGCCTAGCCTTGTCACACTTTTGTCCTTATGTGCAACGGTCGCCACGGCTCAGTTGAAGTTATGTCGCAGCTACAGGCACATCACCTACAGGACTCAAATAGGTGATGTGCCGCGATCCCTGTCCTTGCCGTAACCTATTGTCAGGCCAGGTTTATGAATGGAAGATGTCATTTTCAAGTAGGCACTTGAATTTTGATTCAGACCGGGTGATATTTGTGGGGAAAACGTCGTAAACCCCACTGACTTGTAAAGTAAATTGTTGAATTCTTTTAAGCTATTATCCGTTCATCTTGGAAGCATAATTTTTTCGCCGGACATTGTAGGCATCGCAGCTTTTTCACCGCAACGATTACAGCATTCTATTGATTTCTTACGGTCCAAGATGAGAAAATGACGGTTTGTTGCGTTAGGAGAAAATTGTGAGGATTTTGAAATTTCATGAATTCGAATGTGATAATCAGTATGCCTACTCTACCAGAGCCATAACTGGACGTGTTCTACTTCAGTTATGTCACCTAGAAAGCGTAATTTCTAAACTGATGGGCATATACTTTTGTGACGAAAATAACTCTACTCAAAACTACAGTACAATTCATGTACACAAATGCGGCCATTGTACACGAATATTTAGCAACAAGCCATTAAAATGCGGCTAAAATCCTCCCTTCGACGTTTGTGTCAGTTTAAATTCATTATCCCTCAGCGAACGAAAATGTTACTGAAATAGACTTGTCACACACTGGAAAAAATAAATAAGATCTGCGGATGTAATTCCCTTTGACTATAGTATGGGCTAACGTCAGTGCAAGGCTTCAAAATAGTTTCTCCACATGCAGAAGTAGCAATTTTTCGGAAGAATGAGGCAGATGAGCTATTTCCTTATACCGACCACTCCTAAAATAATCTCTTTCGCTTATAATCATTTGTCGCGTCGGAACCATCATAATCTATCCTGTCCGAGCTTCTTTTCAGAGGATCACCCATTTGACCCATTTGAGGAGGATAGCTGTGTCCATTAAAGCTCCTATCGGGCTCTCTGAAATTCGCACTGGAGGTTACATGCATGGGCTCTTCAACAAGCTCTGGATCAAATAGAAACTCGTCTCGCATGGAGGTTGAGAAGTCTGAACCAGGCAAGGAACTGTTTCCCTCACATTGAGGCTGATTCAAGGAAGCAGCAGCAGAAGGATGCAAGAAAGAATCCAACGTGCTTTGTCCTCGTGGCACATGAGCATAAGTTTTAGGCGGTGCCGCTACTTGCAAAGTGTTTTCCTGACCATCCAGCACCTGTGATCAATCAACACTTCAGATAACTTCTTGTTCCAGATGGCTATGTACAAAATAAAATACAAAACAAACAAACAAATAAGTTAATAAATAAAAACTAGTCAATTTACAAAACGAGAGAGAAACACCAACACTGAAACTGTCAACAGCAGAAATAATTAAATGACATTGATTAAATCTGACCTGACTAAGGTTCTCCAGTTTGTTTTGAACAGTGTCCCTGCAGATTTCACGCATTAAAGAACGCTATTAGTGAAATGTGAAGCTAAACATGTCACAGTTCTTGTTCTGCTACTGATTGAGCTGGATTCAGCTGTACTCATGGGAATGTAAAAGGAAAGTAAACGTCAAGGCCTCTGAAGAGAACAGACCAGATTATATCATCGATGGTGTCATGTGCATGAAGGTAATATACATTGACAGAAGAGGCCTGATACAGCCAACGTCAAAAACTGTAAGTCTTTTAAACTCGAATATTTCTGTGATAGCCGATTATCAATACCCAATTAAGCTCCTCAGCTCAATTATGGTTTCACGATGCTCTTAGTGTCCACGACCTACTTTATTATCAAGGAAAGGCCGAAGAAGTTGGAATATAGACCTGGCCAATACGGTGAGCTCTATCCTCCGCTTGAACAAGGTCTCCAGGTGTCCACGACATCTCAGCAAAGATGACGGTGCTAGCTGCAGTCAGAGTCAATCCAACACCTGCTGCGCGTATTCCTAGCTGCAACATCAGCATTCGCAAGACGGTGAGCCATATCCATGAAAGCTAAGAAGGCAGACTCAAACTCAAAGTGAGCAAGCACAGATCCTTATTCAGTGTTACAAAATATCAACGAAATTTAACAAAACGTACCACTGCTGCAATTATGTTGTCATTTTCCTGAAACCGAGTGACTAGTGCTTGCCGAGCAGATTGCGGTGTTCCCCCATCTATACGGATAAGGCCGACTTTCTTTTTCTGCAGATTAGAAAACAGCACATTAGTTGAGAATGTTCCACTACCCATATATCATCTAAAATATCACACAAGGTGGCTCTCTATTAATCCTTGAAATTGTAGCCAACTGCGCCGAATAGGAAGGGCCGAATCAGAGGTTCAAATTAGAACTGTTCATACCATGAGCAATTGTTCAATCCCGTCCAACATACTTTGATGATGAGCAAATACCAAAAACTTGCACTCTGCCTGCATGTGATGCAATCACGTCATCAGTAGATGGAAAACCTAGTTACATACTAAGCTCGATACACGTATTGACAATTCAACACATTGTAAGCACAAGTGGTGCGTGAAATAAGCAATAATTTTCTTCATCGACGAGTACATCACTAGCAGGATTATAAGTTGGACAGTGCTTCTTCAAGGAAATTGGCAATCAAAACTGCCACAACAATTAACGAGATTGACTGAGCTGGAGGAATCGCACGAACATCGATCATTGTTGTCAGATACTCCTGGACAGCTGGTAGTTTCACAACAGCCGATTCTGTGTAGATCTGTGAGGAATGTGTGCAAGTTGCACCAAAATAGCATTAATATAAACCAACCATGGCATTCAACTCATCTGCTATAACCATCCTGCATTTGGGAAGAGTAAGCATAGACCTTGACATGAACAAATACAGGAGCAATTAGCGGTAAAATCTCATTAAATTGCGAGACTAATGTAGTTCTGATGTAGCCCCCTACCTTGTTGAGCAGTTGTTTCTCCGAATACTTCATCCTTTCTTTCTCATCTTCCTTGCAAAGCTTCATGGCATCCTTTATTTCATTCAACTGATCAATCATACAACATGCTTCAGTTAATCTATTTACAACCACAACCATTGATCACTCCCATAGACTATTGAAATTGCGAAAACTCCGTTCACAAGTAACATAAAGATTGCAAGATCCAGTCTGTACCCTACGCGCTACACCAAAATACCAAAATTAGAGATACGATTCATGCCTCGTGAAAAAGGGCTTTCATGTGCCTGATCCCTTTGTCTTCTAACGAGACAAACACCTGCAATATGAAACAGAATTTGATTGTCATCCTCATCAATGAAGCTTTCACTTAGGTATCGTGGCAGGTTATTTTTCACGTGTTACACCTTGAACATGACATCTCAATTCTAGGTCAACATTAGGCAAGTACGAAACGGTTCATAGTTAAAATAACAAAGCATCATGCAGTTCACATGGTGGTGCACCAACTAGTTGTAGATAAACGCAATATTTTGTTTAGATTTTAGCAGAGTATTAATGTCAGAACCTGTTGACGTCGTTTCTGAGGTAGTTCAGAAAGAACATCCTTCTTCAACCTTCGAATCATTACCGTTGACTTTACAAGAGCATGAAGTTCTTGAAGATTACTTGATCCTTGATACATTCCAAAGTGCCCCTGCATAGAGTCACAGCACGACAAAGGTGAATAGGAGACGAAGCATAAAACAAAGTGTTTCTCAATCCACATTACTGTTTATAAGACACCAGGGAAAATACTCACACCAAGGCAATAACGATTGCCATATTCAGATACACCATTCTTGTACACCGTTGGTTGCAAAGCTTCCAGCTGCGGACAATAAACAAGACTGGAATGTTAAGTAGCACAACAAACAAGACTGAAATATTATGTAACACAAATAATGACCTGCGCAAATTATTTACTTGATTCATGCACTATTGAAATTGGCTGACAAACATTAACACTCATCCTCTTTGACCACGGATTAGACAGATGAAGTGAGAATTGCAAATATTACCTGTTTGAAGAGTTCTATAGGACGAGAAAGTGCCGGTGTTCCACTAAGAAGTACAGCATATTTGGCTTTCTGCACAAGCATACTTTATATATCAACTCCAATATAATGCATTTATTCCATATTAATTCAAAAGCACAAAAATTAACCCAAGGATCCGAAACAAAGTCGGAAAAGATCTTGCCTGAAGTAGAGGAACACAAGCATTTGTCCTTTTCGCCTGTGCATTCTTTAGATAATGCGCTTCATCCGCAATAATTATCTGCAAGTGATCAAGTAACCTTCAGTCTCCGAATGATCCATGCGCTGACATCAGTGCACTTCTCAAACAAGAAACTATCATAATTATCACTATGCACATCATGGTTTATTGAATTTCCAAGACCATTTCAAATTTGCCACCCAACGGAAATATATGATTAAGTAATTGAAACTCGGGGGTTTGCTGGATGACCTTAAATTGAGCCTCGCTGATGGCATCAGCCAACTTAGTTACCAAATCATATGACACAATATTAAACAAGCCATCCAGTTTCACATGGCCCCTGGTGGCTGAATTCACGATATTGAAGCCCTCCTTATTCCAGCTTGAATATTGTGACATAAACACCTGCGCAGATCATAACCTAAAAATGTTACCGACAAATGCATGACATTTGAGTACTTAAACACCATGTAAAAAGTGTGCAGCACAACCAACTCAACAACTGATATGGCTACGACCAACATCCCATCACAAGCTTGCACGTTTATTTATATTGAGTGTTGACAATAACTAAGTGTAATCCCAAAAGCTAGGGAGACTGTCTCTCACCGTAATGTCGCTAGGCCGGATATCCAGCCATTGCTGAAGTGACTGAAAACGCCAGAGAATTAAGTCAGCTCGCGATGAGATTATAATACGTAGTCTTAGTGACTTAAAGCAGTCTGCTCACGTCAAGGGCAAACGAAGACATCTTACTAAGCAACGGTCGCGGGAGACAAAGGCTTACCATCGCCCATTGTAGTCGCAACGATGAAGGGACCACAATCAAAACTGGCCAATCTTCTTCTAAGCATGACACCACTGCAATTGCCTGCAATTTCATGCGTAACTAGCATGTGAAACAGGACATGTACTTTTCCTTTAAACCTAAAGAATATCGAAAACGATTAGCATCTACGCTATTTTAGCAGCTTCTTCAACCTTTCAATTACTGAACCTTCCCAGCATTTGCTTAACAAATTCCAACGACGAACAAATTTCCAGCAATTCAGTGACAGTGCAGTTGCAGACCAACAACCACAACAGTCGCAGTCATTTTAGAGAAGATTTTTTATATAGATGAGATGATACCTGTTTAAATATTACCTACATCCCGCATTAGGGGCGAGAAAAATGATCACCTCTAGTGAATACTCACAAAAAATACTAAAAGAGATCAAAACGAAGGGTTTAAAGACTTTGAAGAAAAAGTAATGCAAGTCTGAACGAAATAGCGAGTTACCTGCAAAGTCTTGCCGAGACCCATTTCATCTGCTATCATTACGCGGCAGCCGCGCTGGAGAGCGAATCTGAAGTGCATGTCGACACATTCATGGGCGGAAAGATTTCACTAAGACAAAAAGTATCCATTATACACTACTTGCAAAGAGTGTAACAAAGGACTACTACTAAATCTCATCTCCTCAGCAATATATTCCATTGCATACTTGAACACCACGTACATACGGACGTAGTGATGGGACCACAAATGAATGTGCATAGTATGCAATGATGATTAGACGTAAAGACATACCTAACACCATCACGTTGAAACGGTAATAACTTTGTCTCTAGGTGTTCAGGAACTTCATTGTATTTTTCTACAAAACCAAGTCCACTAACGTCAGAAACCAAAAACGTGCCTTCCAAACCATCATTTTCAAATGAACTGAGACAAAAATTTGTGCACTTGGCCAAAGAATCATTCATCACGAATTATGCGGAATAATGGGGAGGAAATCTAGGCGAGGCCCAGTCTGTGCACGCGTGTATGTATTTTTGTATTAAAAAGCCTCATGCAAAGAGGGGTACCTAGCAAATTTGGAACAGCAGCAGCCGCTTCGATAGCGCGTCGTACTAACGGTTCCAGCCCTTCGACCTGGTACACACTTGCTTAATCAGAAGCCTAAAATTCTGTGCTTATTCAGAGACTTTCGTCTACTCGGCGGCGTGGAATTATTTTAGGTATAAAAAAGAAGGTTGAAAGTATGTAATGGCTTACACTAACATCCAAGTCACTTATATTACTCATAATTTTCTCAGCTTCAGATACGGAAGAGATTGGGAATAGCCACAACCTGCCGTGCAACACTACAAAATTAGAGATGTTCATGTCAAGTTCATTTTAATTTTGAGAGTGCATATATCATCCCAAAACGTACTAAGTCGAACACTTTAGATCTATTGAGATGTTGAGAACGTATCAGAGATCAAAGTAAAACAAAAAAATCCACCTTTCTTTAGGATTCCACTCTGCTCTTGGAACAGTTCGCATTGCAGCAACTATTTTCTGCAAGAAGCAACACAAAGTATTCTTAAAAAGAAAGGTTTAAACCAAAGTAAAGATAGAAAAGAGTACAAGAAGACTAAGAAGAAGTTAAGGAAAAACATCATCCACAGAACATAGAGAAAAGGCAATGCATCTGAACATATTGAGCTTAATTATAAAGAACAAACAAAGGAGGGTGCATCCTACGGCATTGTATTCGAACTTGGCTGCAATATCACCACTATGGTGGAGGTAAAGTTTGATCAAAGCCTTGGGCACGTTAACAGATTCAGACTTGGTTTGCGAAGAACTTGGTGCAGGTTCTCTTTCAGATTGGGAGAACTTTAAGTCATCTGTGCACAAACAACTCAAGCCAATTAATGAATCCGGCATGGTCATAACAAATATAACTGTTCAAATACTCACAAAAAACTACCACGTCGGATCACAATTGAAACATTCAAAACAATATTTGATTATTGTCTACTCAGATCAAGTCAACTCCTCCAAACTAATGGATTGATGTCAAAGTTATTATAGGAAGATCGCAGTGATCTTACGAATGGGGACAGTCAAGAAAAACAAAAAGGATATCAACAAGATGGGGCAAGTCCAACCACTTCTGACTGGAAACTTAGCCGCAGGCAGACACAAGGGTGGCACAGCCTCAACCTACAGAGCAGCACACACAGATCATCGATGAGGCAGTTTTTTTATTTCGTGCACCACACAACGTAGATATGGATAAAATCCGAGAGAAAATAAACTGACAAGTACACCTTCCTATCACACTGTATAAATAGGGTTAGACAATAGACATGCGAGAATGAGGGGTCTGCGGAGCACTCAAAACGAATGAGATCACATGCAATACATGCATGAAAAACGTTCAAACTTCAAAAAATAGACTAACCGTAACAGGAATTCTAGACAGCGCTTCCACAAGCTCCTCCATCTTGCTCCTTGGAATCACCCAGACCCTATCATTCCACAAAACCCTTAAACAATACTTGTTCACCGACTAGAATTCTAAAATGCCTCATATAGACGACTCACAACGCAAAAAGCAACATAACCTATCTACTTGCATCTGCACAAAATACATCTCAATGCCTGAGCACTGGCAGATTGTGAAAGAATTTTGATTGTAAACTACTAATAAATATACAAGCTCACCTTTCTTCAGCATTCCATACTCTTCCAGGCACAGACTGACAAGCTTCCTTTACTTTCTGCAAAGAAAAACAAGACATCATTCTAGTCAAACCCCTACACAAAAACTATACCATAACAATCATCAGATTAAGTCTCGCTCTTGACCGAAAACCAGACTGCGGTCTCGTTCCTCTTAAAGCCCCACCGTGACGTTACTGATTCATCTTCGTGCCTTCTAGCAAAGACAAGCTGACACCAGCCTCGGACGGTGTACGTATCAAGAATATACCGTGAAATTATAATAACCGCCATAGGTAAAACATATTTCTGATTCCTCTCATTTCAAGACAACGTAAGAAAAGAAACTCGGCCAGTGGCTTAGGAACTCAGGGATCTCTTTTGGTTTTACTTGCTACAGTTCATGCCACGGTAAAAGCCCATGATTTCATACTATATCCCAAGAATAGATCTCTGCTCTTCAGAATGAACTCTACCCATCAATACTACACCGGTGCATTCTGGAAAATACGCACCAAATTGAAGGGACTCCTGACAGCAACATGATCTGGGTCCATTAAGTAAATCTGCGCCACCAACCCAGATCCCTTAGCTTTAATAGGACTTTTGGAAGAGTTTGTGTGAGCACTCTCTTTGAATAGTTGCAGACGAGGAGGACTTGCGAGGGTTTGATCTCCAACAGGCTCTGGAAGTTCAGCCTGAGATCGTTGGGGAAGATTTAACGGACTGCCAGATAGATGCATATTCGATGCTGTTACAAAAGCACCTCCAGGTTTTTAGAAGATTTAAAAGATCCACAAACCCTGCCACTATAGATTAAGAAGTAATACGTGTATGACCACTAACTATGGACAAACTATGTACTGCGTGCATTTCATCAAAGCAAATAGACCGTGCACACATAGCCTGTCTGAATAAGTAGGTAACGAAATTAGTCGTTAGAGAATAAGAAAACAAGATGTGGACTCGTGTGTGAAGTAGAAATCTTTCTGAAGTAACGGAAAGTATGGACCTGTCTGTCGCTGGTCTTGAATCCCACCTGGCGGCAGCATCAGTGGTGGAGTAGCTTCAACCTGCAGAATTTCACAGAAAAAGACTTATAACAGTTAAGAATACGGCAATGTACAAATAACAATGGTCACTTCAGCAGAGGAATATCAAATCATTGAACTGTCGACCATCGATTCAAATTCAAGGTCTGGGAATACAAACCATTTAAAATGGATAACCTTTGAAAGAAGACAAACAAAACAAATCTCGACAGCAGGTAACTGAAAAACATACATCTACTGAGACCTCCGGCAAGGTTGTGATTCTTCTGACCACCTCCTCGAAACGAGTTGCGGGGAAATGCCAAATTCTGTAACCACGACAACTATCAGACCGAAAAACAGTCTTGTTACACAGTTATAATGGAAACAGTAGGCAGAACGTCAACAAATGCGTTGTGTTCATAGACCCACCGACGATTTGCATCCCACTCGTGCCCTGGTACCATCTTGAAACCACCCACAAGATGCTGCAGGGACACATCGTACGATTAAACAATTTTCTCCAAAACAAATTCAAATAAAGGAAAAGTAATGACGCAAAAGTTGTAGAAAAGCTGGAGGCAAACAGCACCTCTACTCTAAAACGGAAAGAATAGGAAATTTCTTAAACCCCGCGCAGGGTTTATCAAGGGTTAGATAGAATTTTTTTCAGTAACACCTGCAAGCACTCATGTCACAAAACATCAAAAGACAAATAAATTCTGCAATCTAAAATGCACAATTCACCTTGTTGAAAGCGGCTTGAACACCGATTCGACCTGGATGATCCACAAAGAATTTGATGGACATTTTAGAAATTGGGCCAGAGCTTCTGGAGGGCGAGTGAAACATCTGTTTCCTTGGAGAAGCAAACGCGGAGCGTTGTTGTTGTTGTCCATGGTAAGAGTACCTCGGTGGCGAGACAGATGCTGTGGAAGAGGATCTTTGTCTTTCAGCAAGCTGCTTCTTCGCATTATTCTCCAATGAATCCAACTCCTCCATACTCAATCCCCATTCATCGTCGTCCATTTCTTCCGGGAGACGATCCCGTCACTTCCTTGCCCTAACTAATTCGCAACTCGTAATCCGGCAACGACTACCCACTCACTCTCAACTCCACTCCGCCTCTCTACCCGGCCCATCCCCAAATCAACCAACCGAAACCTCGATGATATCAACTCAGCTATGACATAGCCCGAAATTCCTCTCAAAATTCATCCAACATAATGCAGGGACATCACTGTCACCTCATTACCCATAATTCTAAGTAAACTGACCAACAATCGAAACTCAGCTTCGGTTCAACACAGCTTTCACTTTCCTCAAATTCTTAAACGACCGAAGATAGTATCCTACCAGCTCCACTGCAAACCTCCACCTCGATTTCTACGCCTGACGTCCACCGAAAACCGTCCGCACCTGTTCCTACAGCCCACCTCACGATGGAACTCAAATAAAGTGAACCTCCTCCCGTTAACTGCCATTCACTCTGCCAAGGCTGTCTTCCACTCAAACCTCAACCATCATTCTTTACGCCCCACATACGCAAAATCTTGAGCACCGGATCGACGCAACGAACTTCTGGAATGCTCGCGAGTAACCGTATTGTACCCACCCGAAAAGCATTCGCAGACACCTCCTACTTGGACTGAAATGCGAAACGATCAACAAGTCTGACATGCAAACAACACAAGCCCAATTAGGCATCTAGGTTTGCAGCACCAGTCTCGCATTCTTCTCCCCCAAGCATCTCAAATTCTTACACTCCCACGCCGAAATTCAACTCCCCCTCTTTCACCGTCGAAGTTTCGACCTCCTCGGTTGAGCCCAGGTCCGCAAATCCACGACCCCATCTGGTTTGCGGTTTGGCTGCCCCTATCCGAGGTGCCGTGGTCAGGATTCGATGAACGCTGGATGAATGAAGGAAATATCGTTCATTAACTGGGATATCGTTCCTTCGAGTGGTATCCATGCCCGGGATGGACCTATAACCGTGCTCGGACATTGCCAATTACCCTAATCACTTGACATGAAAGCAGATTGGTATTTAACTACCCTGGAACTTCGTATTTTGTATTCACTTGTTTCAAATGCCAAATGAAAAGTAGAGAGATACTTAAATAGTAGTGGGTTATTATTCATTGTTGGTAACACACACCCCCATAGTTCTCTTAGCTATGAAATTTTTTTCATGGAAGTGATGACGACTTTCAAACTAAGAATCATGTGAACTTGTGATTACGAGGGCTAAGCTGTTACTCCACAACTTGTCAAATGAGGTGGAAGAGAGGACAGAGGCAGATGAAATGTGGGTGTTTGTTTGTTTCATCATTCACTTCACATAATATATACAACTTATTTTTTGAATCATTTAAGATTACAAACAGGCATTGTGTAATAAAAATGACTGTTTTCTCACCCTCTACAAAAATCAGGATCTTTCATAATTCCGAACAAAAATGTCTTAACATGTAAATTAATGACTTTTGTATACTTTGAATTACAAATTATTCAGTACAGTAAATTTTATAAGAAAATATTAATAGCAATTATATTTTTTTATCTTGCCAATATTATAATATTTGGATTTAATAAATTGATCCTAAAATAAATCTTATTGAAAGTGATTAAAGTCAATCTTGTTTTAAAAATGTAAATTATATTTTATTTTTAAATATATTACTAAAAAAAATTAACAATAATCTATTTGTGTGATAAATATGCATATATATATATATATATACAATATTTATACATGTTCATAAAATTATATATATATATAATTTATACATGTTCATAAAATTATATATATATATAATTTATACATGTTCATAAAATTCAAACAATAATATGAAATGTTCAATATTTTTTAATATCTATAATAATAAAACCAAACAGAATAGAGTTTTCTAATTTTTCATTTGTAAAATCAAGAAGTATTTATGTAAAAAAATTAATGATCATTTATGTTCTATGTACATAATTTAAAACTATATTACAAATCACAACCATGAGATTCATGTAGTTGTATTTTGTGTAACATATAATTTAATATGTAGTTTTCATGACAAATCTAGGGCCATCATTGATAGTTTATATTTTAAATTACATGCTCCATTAAAAACATGTAATAAAAAAACATGGAACTTAACACATATTTGTATAAATATATATATGTATATAGAGAGAGAGAGAGAGAGGAGGATTATATTCAGAATTATCAACTTTCCAGAGTTCCATGATGACAAATGGTCTAAAAGAAAGTCAACTTAACTCCAGTTTACAATACAATTTTAATAAAATGTCATGATAAAATAAATCAAAATATTATTGAGCCATTATATCAAATCAAAATGAATTTAGAAAATTTGTGTGGAATAATTTAACCAAAATAGATTTTCACTTTTTTAATTTGACTTAGGAATGCAATTATAAATAAAAGAAGTAAAACATTAAAATAATACTTCACAATAGGGAGGACACCCATTTCTATCCAACATTAAAATCACTCATAAAAAGACATATCTTCTTTGTCTTCTTTGTGCAAATATATATATAAATATAGAGCAATAGTAGGAGCAAATGATTTCATCAATATACCTAGTTAGGATATCTCATTACAAATTGTATCAAATACAAGTTAAAGAATGATTTTACCAACTTTGTTTTTGTTTTTTTTGTTTTGTTTTTGTTTTGTTTTTTTGGTTTTTTAAAATAAAAAAATAAATGATTACTTATAATTAGAGGCCAAAGTCAACAATTTCCAACTTGGATGCAATCATTTTCAATTAGGAGAAAATAATAATAATAAAAATAATGTATCAAATCCACATACACATGATGAATTTCTTTATGAGCTTCAAATCTATAAAAGAATTTCATGGAAGCTATGCAAACCTATCATGATGTATTATGCTTTAAAGAATTCAAAAGCACAACAAGTGGAAAAAGAAAAGATTTTTTTTTTAATGGAATTCTAAAGAATATAAGTCTTTATGTATATGTATATATCTATAGATATATAGAGAATTGTTAAAGCCACATCCCAATTTTGCTAGAGCCACACTCTTCTTTGTCATTTCATGATTAGTTTTCTCCACTTCCATCTTTGTTTTTGATTCTTAATCCCCTATCTAATGTTCCATGTCCCAAGTCACATGTCTCTTGTTCCAAACCTCCTCCATCCTCATTCACTTGTTCTTGGCTTTCCATGTCTCCATGTTCCGAACCTCCTCCATCCTCATTCACTTGTTCCTGACTCTCCATGTCTCCATGTTTTCAACTTCATCTATCCTCATTCACTTATTCTTGACTCTCTGTGTCTCCTTGTTCTCAACTTCCTCCATCCTCATTCACTTGTTCTTGACTCACCATGTCTCTATGTTCTCAACCTCTTCCATCTTCATTCACTTGTTCCCGACTTTTCATATCTCCATGTTCTCAACCTCCTCCATCCTGATTCACTTGTTCCTAACTCTCCATGTCTCCTTGTTCTCAACCTCCTCCATCCTCATTCACTTGTTCCCGACTTTTCATATCTCCATGTTCTCAACCTCCTCCATCCTGATTCACTTGTTCCTAACTCTCCATGTCTCCTTGTTCTCAACCTCTTCCATCCTCATTCACTTATTCTTGACTCTCCATGTCTCCTTGTTCTCAACCTCCTCCATCCTAATTCACTTGTTCCTAACTCTCCATGTCTCCTTGTTCTCAACCTCCTCCATGCTCATTCACTTGTTCTTGACTCTCCATGATTCCATATTCTCAACCTCCTCCATCCTCATTCACTTGTTCTTGACTCTCCATGTCTCCATATTCTCAACCTCTTCCATCCTCATTCACTTATTCCTGACTTTCCATATCTCCATGTTCTCAACCTCCTCCATCTTGATTCACTTATTCCTAACTCTCCATGTCTCCTTGTTCTCAACCTCCTCCATCCTCATTCACTTGTTCTTGACTCTCCATGTTTCCATGTTCTCAACCTCTTCCATCCTCATTCACTTATTCCTGACTTTCCATATTTCCATGTTCTCAACCTCTTCCATCCTCATTCACTTCTTCTTGACTCTCCATGTCTCCTTGTTATCAACCTCCTCCATCCTCATTCACTTGTTTCTGACTCTCCATGTCTCCTTGTTCTCAACCTCTTCCATCCTCATTCACTTCTTTGTAACTCTGCATGTTTCCATGTTCTCAACCTCCTCTATCCTCATTCACTTGTTCTTGACTCTCCATGTCTCCATGTTCCAAACCTCCTCCATCCTCATTCACTTGTTCTTGGCTTTCCATGTCTCCATGTTCCGAACCTCCTCCATCCTCATTCACTTGTTCCTGATTCTCCATGTCTCCATGTTTTCAACTTCATCTATCCTCATTCACTTATTCTTGACTCTCCGTGTCTCCTTGTTCTTAACTTCCTCCATCCTCATTCACTTGTTCTTGACTCTCCGTGTCTCCTTGTTCTTAACTTCCTCCATCCTCATTCACTTGTTCCCGACTTTTCATATCTCCATGTTCTCAACCTCCTCCATCCTGATTCACTTGTTCCTAACTCTCCATGTCTCCTTGTTCTCAACCTCCTCCATCCTCATTCACTTGTTCCCGACTTTTCATATCTCTATGTTCTCAACCTCCTCCATCCTGATTCACTTGTTCCTAACTCTCCATGTCTCCTTGTTCTCAACCTCCTCCATCCTCATTCACTTGTTCTTGACTCTCCATGTCTCTTTGTTCTCAACCTCCTCCATCCTCATTCACTTGTTCCTAACTCTCCATGTCTCCTTGTTCTCAACTTCCTCCATCCTCATTCACTTGTTCTTGACTCTCCATGATTCCATATTCTCAACCTCCTCCATCCTCATTCACTTGTTCTTGACTCTCCATGTCTCCATATTCTCAACCTCTTCCATCCTCATTCACTTATTCCTGACTTTCCATATCTCCATGTTCTCAACCTCCTCCATCTTGATTCACTTATTCCTAACTCTCCATGTCTCCTTGTTCTCAACCTCCTCCATCCTCATTCACTTGTTCTTGACTCTCCATGTTTCCATGTTCTCAACCTCTTCCATCCTCATTCACTTATTCCTGACTTTCCATGACTCTATATTCTCAACCTCCTCCATCCTCATTCACTTCTTCTTAACTCTCCATGTCTCCTTGTTATCAACCTCATCTATCCTCATTCACTTGTTCCTGACTCTCCATGTCTCCTTGTTCTCAACCTCTTCCATCCTCATTCACTTCTTTGTAACTCTGCATGTGTCCATGTTCTCAACCTCCTCTATCCTCATTCACTTGTTCTTGACTCTCCATGTCTCCATGTTCCGAACCTCCTCCATCTTCATTCACTTATTCTTGACTCTCCATGTCTTCATGTTTCGAACCTCATCCATCGTCATTCACTTGTTTCTGACTCTCTATGTCTCCATGTTTCCATTTCTTTATTTCTAATCTCTTGTTTCCAATTCCTTGTCTCTTGTTTCTAATCTCATGTATCTTGTTTCCAATCTCCTATCTGTTGTTTTCAATTCCATGTTTCTTATTCCAAGTACTCTCCATTCCTTATTTGCAACGCCCATCCTTTTCCCTTCTTCATTTTTAGTCCCTCCTCCTCCTTCTTCCTCTCCCATCTCTTCCAATTCTTTATTTTGAAATTAGAGGAGGGGGGACAATAGAGGGAATATGATATTTTATAACATAATTTATATTAGTTTTATTTAATAATATACTATGTAATTATTATAATATAATATTTAATACTTAAAAATATATCAATTATCAAATTTTATTTCAAGTGAATTTTATAAATAAAGTTAGATCCCTACTTTTATATTCACTTTACATTTATTTTATTTTAATTTGTAAATAATCCATATTCTTACTTTTATTAGCTTGCCATTATTTGAATTAAATGTCACTACTTAAAATTTTTAAAAATAAAAAATATAATAGATAATTATATAATAGAATTCTAATTCCCCTCTAATCCTAAAACAAGGAATTAGAAGGAGGTTGGGAATAAGAGATAGTGGGTGTTGGAAACATAGGATGAGAAGATATGAGGAATATGAGATTTGGATTAGAGAATAGGAATGGAAACAAAGGATGGACGAAATTAAACATGAGAAAGCAAGGAGAGCGATGTGGCTTTAACAACTCCATATATATATATATATATATATATATATATTATACTTATCTTATCTCTTATTTAAAACAACTCAAGAAGGATTAATCAATGGGTTAAATCAAAGGAGACAAAAATCATCTGTGATTGATTGAATATCTCATTGTTTTCATCAAAAGTAACTAATAATTCAACTTTTGATCAATTAGAGATAAAATTCTGCATGTTGTTGCTGCAAATTGCTAAGTGTAGTACTACAAGATCACTAGTCTTCCAATTATAATTTTCAATAAATATATTTTGTGGCCAACAGTATAGGTTTTCACTAATAATTTATAAATGATATTATACAAACCTCTTAAATGAGGAGATACAGACAATTAGCCAAATATACAAATAATATACTCAAAATCAATCTTAAATATTTACACAATCTAAACTTACTACCACAAAATCGCGGAAATTTTACTTTGGAATTACTTTTTCCGGGGCGTCCACGTGGGGCAGTCCAGCACGAGATGGGACACGTCACGCCACGTCAGCTGCCACGGTGGCGCGCGTGCGGCATAAGCTGCGCAGGGGGAGGGCGACGAAGACGGATGCCCCAGCGCGGTTTTTTTTTTTCATTTAACTCTCGCTGATTCGGATGGTGCCGAAAGCTAAATTGAGCTGCTGCTGCTGCTGGAGTTGGAGTCCTGCTTGGGCTGTGCAGGTTGATTCTGGAATCGGAGCCACACTGGTTTCTCTGAATTCGTCTCCGCATTGCTCCCAGCGATGTCGCGCCATTCCTCGCCTCGTCGGGAGACTGCGGCGGGAATTGGTGCTCGCCGACGGACATTTTGTCGGAGCGTGCATCCTTGATTGCGCTGCAAAATTTCGCAAGGGTTTTAGGTTTCAGCGAACAGCCTAGATGGGGTGGGTTGTAGTCGCGGTCGCTTAGTCCCCACAGTTGGCCTCGTTGATTGTTGTTCAATCTCATAATGTGTCGGTAGGGTTTTGGGATTTCGGAACCTTATCTTTGTGTAGACGTTTCTGGCACTGTTTCGAGAGTCAAGCATATGCCCTTGGCGATGCGACTTAGGCAATGAGCGAGGCGTTGGAATCAGATCGATCATCTAGGTTGATTTTCTGTTCCTTACTGCATTCGAATCTATGCGTCTCCGGAGGTCCTGTCTAGATAGATTGTCTGGATTTTACTGTTGCCGACTTCAGATTTGGAGTGTCTGAAGCAGCGAGAGCAATTTGAATTCGGAAAGGGTAATTGGATGAGAGTTGAAGGCATAATGCATCCCCATTACCGCAAGGGAAGTGCTCCATTGGGAGGCACCGAGCTGGGGCGTGAGATTCTTATGCAGCTGGGAACGTTGCAGCTGTATGGGATGGATCCCCAGCTAACCCCCTTGGAGAGAGGACTAGTAAAATATTCCCTGCGCATGGACAAGGCGGGCTTGATGGAGGCGCACATGAGGTTTCTGAAGCAGTTCGGGGAGCTGGAGCGGGACTGGCAGCTGACGAAAGAGGCGGCGGCGATGATGACGACGTCTAAAGGGGTTGCCATGGAGAAGGAGCGTCCTCCTGTTCGAAAGAAAGCTGTGGAGGGGATGCGCGCCATTCATCTAGTTGATCTTGCCGTTGGCAAACGGAATCATGGGCGTGTGCTCTACGCAACCATATGCGCAGACACATTTTTTTTGAGTTTGATTCAGACATTGGTGGAGGATGACGAGGGGCTTGCTGCGAGGGTTATGATTGACGACGCTACTCTAGATGGGTCGGCGTCGTGGGCTAAAGTTCAGAGACGGTACCCTAGAGGCGCCAAAATAGCAATTAAGGCGCCATTCTTGTCAGACTTGCCGGATGAATCAATTGCACTCTATGTCACTAGTGAGGAGGATCTCGTAGTGTTGTCAGATAGTTCGCCATCTACAGTTGAGTTCGATTCCTATGGGATCATGGATGCAGCAACGCTGCGAACGGAAGGAAACCGGTTATTTGCAAAGCAGGATTGGCCAGGAGCAATAGGTTTTTACACTAAATGCATCCAAAAAGCTATGAGTACAAATCAACGGAAGCCAAATGCGAAAAACAGGAAGAAAGGGCATAGTGAAAATGGGGCGACAAGCAATGGGAAGGTGTCTACTGAGACAGTGGTGCTAGCGTATTCAAATCGAGCAGCTGCTTGGATGAAGTTGTGCCACTATGAGAGAGCTCTTGTGGATGCTGAAGAAGCTCTGCACCTGGATCCCCAACACTTGAAGAGCATTTATCGCAAAGGATGTGCGCTCCGTCATATGCAGCAGTTTCAGCGGGCGAGCGAATGCTTCGCTATGGCATTAGAATACTCGCCAGAGAAGGAAATCAGACAGGCACATAACAGGAGTAAAACATACGATTCGCAAAGTCGTTTAGGTGTGTATGAGATTCACAATCACCTACTGGGGGATGCCGATGATGTATCTAATTTGCCGGAGTTTAGTGATTTTGTAGGACCTGTTGAAATTAAATTGATGGAAGGTAAAGGCAGGCGAGGGCTGTTTGTCACGCGAGACGTGGAAGTAGGGGACTTACTACTCGTGAGTAATGCGCTTGCAGTGGTCAACGCTGAAGGCAGAAAGATAGTCACATCGTCGGGGCGATCTAATGCTTGTCTAAGGGATGAGTTGGTATACAAACTTTCCAATCTTGTATTAAAATCGTCAAGATGGCTGCAGCAACTGTGCTGTCTAGCGGATTGCGATTGCCATGGGAATGGAAAAGTGCCTTCGTTGGAGTTATTCCGGCCTAATAGCAAGTGGAACTCGTGTAAGGATGATGTGCCCCTGGTTCGCATGAAAGGAGTGGTGTTGCAAAATGCGCTGGATGAGTCAGGATCCTGCACCAGAGGACTAGCTGCGGGTCAGCAGCCGCCAGCGCGGCAGTTTTTGGGATTGTGGCCTCTTGCATCGTTCATCAATCATTCCTGTGCTTCCAACTCATTTCGCCTTCATGTTGGGGATACCTTATTCTTACATGCCTCACGTCCTATTGAAGCCGGGGAAGAGGTAACGCTGGCGTATGTTAATACCCTTCTTCCAAGGCAGATGCGGCAGGAACTCCTTGACCAAAATAGCTGGGAATTTAAGTGTAATTGCTCGAGGTGCTTGTTGGAAGCAAAGTTGAGCGCCCCACTAAAGCAGGTAAGCAAGCGCTTTCAATCTTTGTGGGGCTACAAGGAATCTGTCACACCAGGGCAATCGGAATCCTTCAAAATGGCGAAACTTGCCCTCAAACTTGAACATATCCTCAAGAATATTGGTCTGTATTTATATGAAGTACAGCTGATACGCGCTTCATTCTTTATCATGTACTGGATTGGTTATCTCAATCTGGACCGGCTTGGTGACTTAGCCATAAAATTGCCTCTCCCTGAAAATCTTATTGATGCAATGACAGCTGCTGCTCCTGGTGATGGAATGTCGTTATACTTTGCCTGTTACTGGCTCAAGAAATTTAAAGAAGAGGGGGCAAGTGTTGCAGTCATCAATGATGCACATAAGCGAGCTATGCGTATTTGTAGATGTATATATGGCAAACAGGAGTCTGAAATTCTGAAACGCTTAGTAAAAGCTCATGATTCGGCCCCTAACTAGTAACTTGGGTAGTAGTTTACATGCGCGCTAAATCTAATTAAATCTAATTCATCTTATCTTGGGTACGTGCACCAGCGAGAACCATGATTTGTATTGTCAACTAAATGTCACATGTTATCAGTTCAAATCATATCTTTGTGTTGCTCTTTTCCCATCTTTAGCACTATTGATGATGTTCCAGTATTACCCATACTGACTTGAGAGCTTAGCTTAAATGTAGAGCTTGTGGTTCTTGAGAATCTTGCTTTGACTCGTAAATTCATGAGCTGCAGGGGAACAGTATCTTTCAAACTACCTGCAACGTAGAGATATGAGGTGATTGATTCATTCGCGTGGCTGTTAATATTCGGTTCTCCAGGTTAATCACTTTTCGCATGCCCGAAATTCAGAGCGCGCACTTTTTCGCTATTTATGTCTGATGCGGATGAGACCTACCCTGGAAATAGTACAGTGAACGTTGGACAACCCATCAGTTCTATGTACCAATCTGATTGGAACTTTCGATTTGTGGGAGCAAATGTGGAGAGAGGGCAGGTCTGTCCTAAAAATTCCATAGCATGTAACCTCAGCATGATGAGATTCAGTGAAAAAGTTCCACCAATTTTATTAATTTCGTTAGTTCAGTCATGAATCCCAATCAACCGTATATGTGATATTCCATGAGTTTCCTAAATCAGTTGGTATATAATAGGAACATGTCCTTACTATTTCTATCTAGAATATTTGTCGATTCATTTTCTTCAACTCGTAAACCTTCCAAGTACATTAGTCTTATCTGCCCATGATGCTGACAAACGTGCCAGTAAGATCAAGTATATGACTGATTGCTTAGTCAAAATCTAATATCTTTCAACCACAGAATGAAAACTACATGATTGTGCAGCGGTTAGGCTTGTCCTCTGTACTGGTTGCTGCTTGATTTTGCTGAGCGAATCTTCGAGATTGCGAATCTTCGGGGTTGTAAGTGAATTCCGTGGTATCCAATCCATACTGCACAATTCACACAAACAACACAAGATCAGGTTGCTTCAAAGAACAAGTATCAATGTTTACTACCGTACCACAATATGTACCTGTATGATGAGGGTATTTCACAAGACCTTGGAGCTGCCCAGCAGCTAATGTCAGGGTGTGTAACAAGTCTGACTAAACATTCAAAGGCGTTCTTCATCAGAGAGACAGATCGCAAGATAGATCAGGGAAATGTCAACCCACACGTGAACTTGCAAAAATTCTTCCTACTTCATTGTAACAGAATTTCTTTTGCTTGACCAGGAGACTCCTATGGGACAAGAAGTGTAATCAAAGTGAAGTTCTCCACTCATTTACTCTTGTTTTATGAAAAGGAGATGTTGCATCTAAAGCTGCTAGTTACTGCTTCTCGGCAGCAGGGTGAATGGGTTTCATATCTAAATGAATTACTCTAGTACCCACGAGCGTCGGGTATTTACTATATAATCTAAAACAGAATCAATGAGCACATGAACAAGAATAATGTCCATACACAGAGCATCATCCTAAGAAGAGACACTGATCAGGCACAAACATGAACTTGACAAGAAACGGTTACCTTTTCTCGCATTCTTGCACTCCAATCATCATTGCGAACAGCAGTGCGTGAAGGAAGGTTCTGTGCAGGAGCCCCAGGAGGAGCAGGTTGATTATTCGGGCGATTCAACAAAGGCTGCCTTGTAGGAGCAAGCTCCTCGTCACTATCATATCCTGATCGACGCGGGTCAGCAGAGATGGCTCGTAAAGTCGAAGCGAACAATAAGCCCAGTGCCTGTAAATCAATCCATATATCACTGCTTAAGAAAAACAATGGGAAAAATTCAAGACTTAACCATCAAAGAACATATAAACACTGAAATATTGATTCGCTAGGTTAACAAAAAAGGTTCAATGGACGTAGTGTAAAGCAAGTCACTTTTGATACAGCGCAAATGACAAACACAACTTCCATTTACCTCGATAATCAACACTCCTAAAGCAACCCATTTGCAAATAGATAAATTTTCTTCAACAAACTCCTCCACTTTATCCAGCTGTCCTGTTGGATCGTCAGGTAGATCCTGAATGCGAACAAAAAGTAAGTTTATAATTCATAACTTCGGGAGGCAGCTGTCACAAGTCCTAACCTACAAGAAAAGGCTACTGCAAACTTCAATGATAAGGAGAGTCTGCAGAAAAACGAATTTTTGAACTTACCTGACGCCAATGCTTGTCAAAAAACAGATAGCCGGCAAAAATGAGTTGTGCTATGCCAAAGAGAATTTGCAGGCATAAATACTGTAAAGAAGTTAAGATGGAACGTCGTCTCTGCAAGCTTCTCCTTAATGAAATGTGCAGTATGCGAACTACGAATGTTTACAATTGAACAAAAATTGATTTATCAAATAAAAAGACTAAACAAAACAATAACAGCGTGTCAAAGCCATTTTATGAAAAACATAAATAGCTTGCGTAAATATCAGATGCACAAAAATTTGAGAACAAATCACGTCATTAGAGCTGGATACACACGAGAGACAAAAGTTGTGGCCCGTCTCAGCAGCTATATGGCCGGTACAGGTTATCAAGAGTGTCGTGATTCCAACGCCTTGGAACGCATAAATGAACCTGAATTCAAACAAGCTACGACTTAGAAATCTGCAAAAAGTCATCACAATAAAAAGAAAACTCACTAAGAAAGAAAGTTCGTAGGAGTTATTTCTGAGCATTGTCCACGATCGACATGTTCCTAACCCACTAATCAAAACGAGAAGACACATGGTCTTTACTCCTTATCGTACATGAACATAACTATTCCAAGAATTTGGTTGAACTTACCAAGGGGTTGGCAACTTAGACAGCTCAACATTTTCATTTTTCAAATGTAGAAAAGGCCTCCTGTTTTTTTCAAAGTGTAGTACAACCCCTTCAAAAAGAGATTCATAGTTGCTGACAACACCAGCGCCAAAATCAGCAACAGTTTGGTTGGGACCAGGTGCAACATCTGGTGAGACTGAAGGCTCTGGTTCCGGCTCTGGTTCCGGCACTGGTTCAGATGGAGGAGGAGCAGAAGGTGAGACATCGGGAGTTGGAGCTGGTGATGAAGGAGTAGGGGTTGGAGTTGATGCAGGAGTTGGGGTAGGTGTTGGGACAGGTGTTGGCGGAGGCAGAGATGGGGCAGGTGGTGATAATGGAGGTTCGCTTGGAGGCACTGAAGGGGGTGATACTGGAGGGAAGCTAGGAGTTGGTACCGGTGGAGTTGGAGGTGATGGTGAGGGAGGCAGTATTGGTGGTATTCCAGGAGGCAGTGAGGGAGGGGATGGTTGAGGAGGAAAATCCGCATGATACTCTTTAACCATCCACAGAGAATATATAACAATTGAACCTCCAACCAAGGCAAGCAGAAAATTGGTGAATTTGAGCATGCATTGGAGAAACCCCACGCAACTCATTTTGACCTGTTGTTGCTAACACCGGCTATCTCATGCAGAGGAATTATCTGTCAGCTGCGATATCTTATCCGTCTCCCTGTATCGGTATCTCCCGTTTCTGATTAAAAAATCGAAACAAGAAAGAAGGTATCAATACACCGCTTCCGTAGCTCACAATTCATGAGAGTCCAATACGTGGGTTGAGATTGTAAATAGCCACATATTTCTTGGCAGCATAGGTGAACGCTCACATCACAATATGCTTCAGGTAACTACCCCTAGTTTTCACATGATTGCCTAAATCTCGACACAAAATGCCTGGATATTCAGCAGGAAGCTTCATCTTCTGACGTGCACAAGAAAGAAAGAAAGAAAAGGAAAAAAAAACGATAAGAAAGCGCCCGAGTGGATCACAGAATTGCCCGCAGAGAGTGCGGTAATAAAGTTGTACAAAAATGAGCAGTCCAGTTGATAAATTCAAAACGGGTAGCACCTGATAACAACGTACACGTCTCACACTGCAATCCTGAGTCTTCAAATACCGTATGTGATCCAGAAAACTTCGCGAAGTGGCACCCTGTTTCGTCTCAGACACGTGAAATGGTTCACTCTAAAATGGTGATTGGAACTATCGATAGCCAAGGCTACCGATCATCCTGCATTGCTCGACTCGCAATGACTCAGAAAAGCCGGACAGTCACAATGCTAAGCTGAGACATCTCAAGGAACAAGAGCATCCTCTACCTGTTATTAAATCCAGCGAAGGATTCTTGACACCATTCGAGCGTGTACAATTAGAATTACCTCATACTTTTATTGAAGCTGGAATCCAAGATACGATAAAAGTCTTCCAATTTCGACAAACACAATCAAAACTACACACTAATCGCGCTAGACACACATGCTTCCCGTCCCAAGACGACACTCTCCAATCTTCTTCCATTCGACACGCTGCCCAACCGGCAAATGCGGCAAAACCTCATACCTCTCTATCAAGCACTTACCAAATTTCTCATGAGCACATTCAAATCGTCACTCCGATTCCAAACACTGCCAGTTCCGATCCACGCAAAAGCAGCAGCAGCAGCAGCACCAACCAGCCAGGCACACGCTCCACTGTAGCTCGAATCCCTCGAACTAGCCGCGACCGTTCAACTACACTGATCCGGAGCATCGAAGCTAGGAATCTCACGCATCTGTTGACAGCGACATTGGAATACGACACAGTACATACCCAGCAGACAGTAACGCAAAAAGGCAGGAGCTGGCACCACAAGCGAGGTAAGCCAAGTGTATAAGATGTAAAAACCCAACCAGTGAGCACATGAATGGTGATGTAGAAACAGCAGTGGTCGTCGTAGAGTAGGTCTGGGTTGGCCAGATAAGGCCCATGAGGCTTTCACATAAAGCAAGCACGAATTTGCCACCCCTTCATGGCCCCATCCCTCCTTTACGTGGCGCATGGCCGTCTTAAGCTGCACCCTGGCTGCACCTGCCAAGCCAGGACACGCTTGCATCGCTGTCCACTGTAGGATTTACTTCCAATGGCTGGCCTGTACAGTCCTTTCGCTGCGCAGGGACACTTCCCTTCCTTCCTTCCCTACTCGCAGACTGCGCAACCAGACAACGATGGATCCATTGATTCACCACTCTGTCTGTCGGTGGACTCCAACCATGGTGGACGTTGCAAGTCGTGTAGCTATATTCGGGCGGGCGGATTTTGTGGGTTCGTTTTGTTTCTCCAAGAAACGGTTTCACGTAGAGATTGTGCAAGCAAAACCAGGCAAATATGGTCAGTTTTGGTGAGTCAATTGAGCACCTTCGCATTAACCGCCAACACTCGAGCTCCTTCGCAGTTCCACGACTCTTTCCTCCTCCGGTGGGTGCTCCAACCGTTCTTCGTGGAAACAGAAGAAGAGGTGACGCTTTATGCGGACGAACAGAACAATGTGTGGATGTACGTTTTATTTTTATTTTTATCTATACCCTAACTTCATCCTTGTGTGCTGCTCAATGCCTTTGTCAGAGCTCTTCATCTTCCACAGAGTTTGCACACCCTCGAGGTCGCGTAACCCCCGCTGCGATTGATTCGAAGGATTGTTGTGAGCTCTTGTTAAACCTGCGTTTGAGTCATGGCTGACGAAGATTATAATGATTACGACGGTGGTGATGTTGGGTATGTGAGAATTTTTGGATTATGGAGTACATTTGCGGCTAATCAAGTGTTTCATTAGTTGGAGAGCTTCTCGGAATTGGATTAGCCGTGTTTTCGATTTATGCTGATATGCCAATCCCTTTAACGTATTCCGGTTGGAGTTGATGTTGAGGTTGTGGTGGGTTTGGGAGTTCAATTCATTCGCCGAACGACAGGTTTTTCTTTTGTGAAACTGATCCTGGGGAATTTTTGTTTGTGGATTGCATACTTTGGTTTGTTGCAGGTATGAGGAAGAGCCGCCGGAGCCTGATATTGAGGTTAGCTCTTGCTTCATCCGATGAGTATATCTCTTTTCATTGTACTACTAAAGTTGCAGTGTTAGAAACGCTACAATCATTTTCCCTGTATACAGATGATTGTGTGTGTGTTGCGTTGTATTTACTATAGGGTTTGAAAATTTATTCCTGGTGATTGCAGGATGAGGTTGCGGAAGGAGACGAGGAGAATGACGATGCTCGGGATTTCGACGGGCTGGAAACTGATACTTTGGTGGACGGCGCTGAAGTTCGAACCGACAAACCTCGGAAAACCACAAAGTACATGACCAAATATGAACGAGCTAGAGTGCTTGGTACTCGTGCTCTTCAAATCAGGTTAGAAGTTTAACCACGCCAACTCGTTTAGGTTAAGAAATATTTTTGGGGTTGTTTTGTTTATAACGTGTGTACACAACTCATGAACTTACTTTTGGGGGTCTCTAACATCGTTGGACTATCTTACAGTATGAATGCCCCAGTGATGGTGAATCTAGAAGGCGAGACGGATCCTCTTGAGGTACCTTCATATACGCGGCTTATATTTATACGCGGCTTTACTTTAACTGCACATGTGCTGTTAATTTGTGCTCTACGCTGTTCCTGCGACATACTATTTCCTATGCATAGGAATTGGCTCTGAACTTTTTCTGTTTTTTTCTGGTTCGTAATGCGTATGTAATGCATACTAGCACACGCTGTAATTGTTAGACGTGTCGAGCGATACCCATTTCGCGGTTGACTTTTCACGAGTGTGCTATTGAATTCTGTAACATCTAAAGTTCGTCCCAATTTTACTGGTTGTACTCATTACACTGTTCATTTGTTTAAAAGCCTCGGTGGTAGGGTTTTAGTTTTTTAAAGATAATTTAGTCGGAAGTTGCCGTTTACCTCGCATTAACAGAGGCATTTATTCGTAAACAGATCGCTATGAAAGAACTTCGGGAGCGGAAAATTCCCTTCACCATTCGTCGCTATCTGCCCGATGGGAGGTACGTCTCATACTAGAATAAAGTACAACCAAGTAGCAAGAAGTGCAAAATATTTTTGAGGTTGACGTGAACATTTTTTTATCTTCTGTTTTGTTGGTCAAGTTGCTGAAATGCAATCTGCGGCAGTCTAATATTTTGTGCCGTATTGTTCCAGTTATGAAGATTGGGGCGTGGACGAGTTGATCGTAGAAGATTCTTGGAGGCGCCAGGTCGGCTGAGAATTTTCTTTCCAACGGGGACGAGTTGGACATCTCGTCGCTATTCTATGCAAAATCTCCCGAAATTGAAGCTTTGTGTTTTTTTATATTGAAGGGCGAATGGCATTTTACCAGACACTTCTTAGCGGAATTTTGGGATACTAACAACCCGTTGCAACATGCTACAGACACCAAATAGTACGCTGGCACTAGTCATCTTGATTATGGATCTGTAAATCTGATAGTGGGTGACCGCAATGGTGTATTTAATGGCTTTATAGTTCGAGGATTGTTATGTGCAAAGACACTAGCCTTGACGCTTCACATGGTTCCTTGCACTTCTTTGCGTAAGAGGGGGTGTTAAGGTTGGCTTGCCTAACGTACGTTTTAATACAAATACTTTCGGATTTTCTCATTACTTTGTCTTTGGAATCTCATTGGGAGTGGTTGAGCTCTCTGCTTGTCAAGTTGAAAACTCGTCCTAAGATTGCTACTTGAAGTTCATAAGATCTAAGTAGCTCTACCTACTTGTGAAACCTTTCAATCCTCATACGTGTGCTCATGTAGTTCCTGATTTATCATTGCTTGCCACACTATTAGTGTAGTCCTATATCTTTGTCAACACCTACTCTAGTGTTAGGGGATTTCACACCAACCGAAGTATTACCTCGTTACATGTAACTAGATTCGCACAGCTTCAGAGGTTCTGAACAGTAATCATCTGTGTAGCAGTAAATGACAAACATTCTCAGAGCATTATAAATTTCTAAGAGTTGTGTGTTTGTCTTGACTTGACTTTCTTCAAATAAGTTTTGAGGTGATGCTGGCATTATGAGTATAGATGTATCCCCGTACAAATAGCAAAAACGCTGTGAGCTTGAATATATTCTACCTCATTCTCCCCTCGTCAAAATATTTAACCTAGTGAATCCTGTAGTCTTAGACAAATACGTTATGTTTTTTTTTCCGTTCTGGACAAAAGTTCCCTACATTGAATGATTATGAACGCTGAAAACTGGATACATTTAATGTATGCATAAAGTTATTTTGCTTTTCAAAGCTCCTTGCAATCCATGCACCACCACAAAGTACTTGAACTCGAACTTTACATCCAGGCAGATCTCATAGAAAAATCAAATCAATTCTGGCATTCACCTGCAATCTGTAATTGAAACATATCGTCACCGTAGCGAGGCAATTCATCAATCTTCGAAATAAAGTTGTGATGAGAAAGTCGCTGAAGAAAGTGAGGTGTACTGAAGCAAAAGTGAGAACCATGTCAGCAATTTTAAACCTAGCAGGGCACCGCAATCCTACCTTGCTGGGCTGAGCCATAGGTGGCGATGAAAACGGAATTTGAACCTGCTGCTAAACTTCGTGGATGTCTCTGCGGAGCGGAGGCCAGAGGTTGCTCTTTCAGAGCACAAAACGCGACTTCGAAAGACGGCGACGGTAATGTTGATGGCTGCCTCAGCATCATTATCAACACGAAGACAGTTGTCGTTGTCGTTGCACTCGTAGTCTGGTGGCAAGGGGGGAGGAGAGAGGCAAGCTTCCCGCAGCGCCCTCTGGCGTCATCACCATAACCAAAGTTCCAGCCAACCCACTCTAACAGGTCAGATTACTGTTGTTTAGCTTCCCTTGGTAGGCTAACTTCGTGCTGTATATTCCCGGTTCCGTTCCTTTTCTCCCCTCCAACACATGCAATCGGTTGCGTTGCTGGAGTTGTTTGGAGCGCTGTGTATCGACGTGAGGGATAGTTTTGACGTGTTTGATTCGGTGTAAGAATTTCGGAGCTCGGGTAGGTTTTTTGTATGCATTAACGTGTAATAGTTGGATGTTGGGTGTCTTGGACACGAGGGGATTTTGGGTGTTTGAATGGAAGGATATACTTGTTTGAGAGTTGTCGGTTTAGAAGGAGTTAGGGGCGGATTCGGAGAAGCAGCTGCAGTGAAATCAATGGAGGGTTCTACAGGGTGTGAGACGGATCTGGCAACGAGGCAGCGTAATGTAGATGGAAATAGGTTGTTGCTCCTGGATGGTGGAGTTCATGACCTTCCTTCGGTCTAGTGATTGCGATAGAGGATGGGCTGTGGTTGTTTGGAACCGATATCGGTTTATGTTTAATCGGGGGTCCAGGTTCCTTGGGGCGATCTAATCTGGAAGTGGATTGCTTTGGACCATTCACGAACCCAGAATGGGGTTTTTAATGAGAATTATGACTCGAAAAAAAAATGAAAACCTTCACACTCTGACATTTGCTTGAATCGGAGCTTATGGATTACTTCGTTCTTTAAAATTTTCGGACTTTATGAGCTCTGTAGTGAATAGGGTTTCAACTGTAACCTTCACGTCAAAGCGCCCAAGTATTAATCCTGATTCTCCCTTGATCTAGCGTAGATATATTTTAGCCGAATATGCCGTTAAATTTTATCTTGAAGATTTTTGTTCTATTTTATTTTATTTTATTTTTCTTACTTGAGTTGTCCTTGTTTATCTGAGTGGAATATAAGTTTCACTGTGCGTTCTGTAACAACTGGGTGCCTAAATCATTGGCTATTATGGTGCAGATTTGGTGGCACTACCAACGTTCCCCTTCACATGAAAAGTTATAATAATTGTGCAAGTGGGTTATCGTGGCCCTTCAATAGGAGACAAGATGTCCTGCCAGGGGTTTGTTCAGTGTATTTTGAAGTTGATCAATTTCTTGGTGACGGTGGTCGGGGCTTTTATGATAGTATATTCTCTATGGATGCTAAAAGAATGGAACTCCATTGGTCATCTTAATCAAGGGGTGCCTTCCACAGCTTCTGCGCTATTATCAGGCGGGGTTATGAGTGTAGTGTCTGACGGCATTCAAAATACTGAAGGATTGATTTTTGAGCAAATCCGAAGACCTTTCTTGAAGGAGAATTCGCAACTGTCAGATCTTCCTGCCCCTTGGTATGTTATACATTAACCTCACTAAGATATGGTGTCCTGGCATGTCGATGTGAGTTCGAAGTGCAAAATTTTTCGAATTTCTTGTTATGCTCAATCCTGCCCAACCCGTTTTTTTCTTGATTTATCTACTCAGAAAATAAGAGACTTGCTCACGTGGGAATGTTGTTGGCGCAGGTTTATCTATGCATTCTTCTGTGCTGGGGCAATCACATGCTTTGTCTCTTTGACAGGACATATTGCAGCTGAGTTGAGCAACAGCTTTTGCCTTTCTTGTGTATCCTAAATTGAAGATACTAGTGTGGAAAAGAGAAGAATAGAATACCGCCTTCGTCATTTTTACCTTCTGTTCTTAAATGCAACATATTGAGACGATCTGTATTACTTGCCTAAGATAAATCAGAATCCTTTTATAAGTTCAATGGTGATTGTGTCATGCGTCTGAAGATTTTCCTTAATGAGAATTACAGTATAGCGTACTTCAAATCTTTCTTTTATTGGCACAATTCGCAGTGGCTGGGGCTCTTTTCTTTGACCGGCATTGGCGAGAGGTGAGTTCCCTTCCCGATCAGCTTTATGAGCGAGAAAATGCCTTTTGCTAATATCTTTCTTCGTTTGCACGCTCTTGGCTTAAGTGATCTGCGTGTTATTGTAGGATATACCTGAGGATCCCACTGGGGAGTTGGACAAAATCCAAAACTTTGTATTGGACAACCTTGACATCTGCAAATGGTTTCCTTAGGCGTGGTGATCCTAGAAGTGAGTGTTCAACTCTAACTTTGAGAGCTTTTAGAGTGGCTTTCTTTTTTCTTGTGGTCTTACTTGCTTGAACCTCGAACACATCTCTTGTGACATTGTAGGAAGGAATTCCGGGAAAAAATTTTTTTTTAGGGGACTTTTTTGCATTTTAAGGTGGGGAACCTATCCGGGTCATAGGCTTTTTTTTGGAAGAACTTTTTCCCCCCCCCCCCCCCCCCCCCCTCTCTCTCGGGCTGTGTGTGTGTGTGTGTGTGTACACACACACGCACACTCTCTCACATTTTTATAAGTAAAACTATGTTTTGGCTTCTTTCTTCTTAGATGGGTGCCTATTTTTAATTTCTGAATGAGCCTTGTAACATCTTTTGTCAAATGTAGGTGCTTGGATTGTTCTTTGCATTTATTCTCCGGGCTATTTCATCAAATGCGCGGAGATACTACGACAGTGATGACGACTACATGGCGCCCAGGTCAGCTCCTCGTCGGCCTGTAGCCGACCGGCAAGCTAATCAGCCGCCCCTTGCGGCGGGTTCTGGGGCCGCAACTGAAACTCGACCTCGTAGTGATGCTTGGAGCATAAGGATGCGGGAAAAGGTATGTTTTGTATTAGTGCTATTAGAGTTTGCAGATCTTAATGTGGAATTTATGTTGACGATTCTTGGCCATGTTTTGGAAGTTAAGTTTCTTCTATGCTCTTCATTGATGGTCCTAAGACACCTGTGTTCTGCAGTATGGCCTGGACACGACCGAGTTCACATCTAATCCGTCCGAGTCAATGAGGCTATCAAACCAGACACCTGCCGCAGAGGAGCAGCAGAGTCGATGCACTATAATGTAGACTACGTCTAGTTAATCTTTCAAAGTTTACCCAAACCTTTTTCATGCCTTTTGCAATGAGAAGGCTGTTAGGTTTCAATCTCCTTTTCTCTATATAAATCATTTCTTTTTGTAGCTCAATAACAGTGTAGATTTTTTGATTGAAAAAGATTTAGAAAGGTGAAAAATGTCGGGTTGCAAGTTGAGTTATGATTTATTAGATTTTGAACTAGTCTTAATATGTTTGCAACTAGGGCATGAATGGCTATGCCGATGCCTGCCATTGTACAGAAAAGTGTTGCCCTTCTCATGCTAGCCTTAATGGCTAGAACAGGTAGTCATGGCGATTGTGTTTGTAGGTTAGTTTAGTCCTATTAGGCTAATTGCCTTTTCCTGCCTACATAAAATTTAAGTTTCTCTGTGGCGAGTTCAATCTGACTTGAGTGGTCCCCAATATTTAATAAAGATGTATCATTTTAGAGTTGGACATCTATGAATGAGTAGACTTTTTGGGTGTAATTTGGTTCTTTTCTTGGATTGCTCAGCCGGTATCGCAATTTTTTTAGGAAATTGCGATTATTTGTATTAACAGGATGGGCCAAGTGATCCCCCATTATAACCTTGACAAGGAATCATCATACTATCAGTCAGAGCTACGATTTTCCAGTCTGGTATTGTTTTTGAATGACTGGAGCTCGAGCAACACCGTTACGTGATCATTTTGGGAACTCTCAGCTTCCGCAAACAGCTCCATATTTGTTAGTAGTCTAGACAATTCAATGAATAACAGATTTGCTAGTAGTCTAGACAATTCAATGAATAATGACATCGTTATTCATTGAATTGTCTAGACTACTAACTAATCTGTTAGTTTTCAAACCTCACCAGCGAACGAAAGGTGCGGTACAATTCAACTTTCAATGTTAGTTCTTACAAAGCGACCCACATCCTTGTTATGTCACATCTCCGAATACACATGAGATGCTGCAGAGCAGCACTTCACATCTAATGATCGTGTTATGCAAAATTTGCTGGCCGTTTCTCCTACTCAAGCTTGCCAAATGGTTTATAAAAAGCATTAGCCTGGAATGAGGTTTGCGGAAAGTGCTTTTTCCTCTCCTGTGCAATCACTGTGCTTCAATAGCCGATATATGAGTGCAACCCATTGAGTAGACTCGTTGAGGCTACAGCTCCAAGAATCATGATTCGATTTCTGAAATGATTTGTATCGTACCTTTTCTTAATCACTTTACAAGGATTCACTTCGAACAACGCACATACCGAAGGCAGTCGCGTGTTCGGAGATTATGTATGCTGAAACACGACGTTTCTGCATTCTGGGAATTCTCGGCGAGGTGTTAATAACTGGGTTCCGCTTCTAACTCTGTGGTTTTCTCTGTTGATGGATTTAAGGGGCTGTGGAGGTGATCTATGAGGACAGAATTTGATGCATTCTTAGTTTTACAATTCATTAAAAAATCTTATTACTTAAACTTCTAGTGACACCATGGAGTGAGTTCCAATGGCAAACAAAGGTGAGTTTTGGTGGCACTTAGTAAACTGTAACGTCCCTTCATGTGTGGAACAATGTCTTATCTTAAGATGGAAGAAGAGGTTACCACTTTGACTTGGATCCATTTGTATTAAAGTTCAAGTAAAATGTCCAAAATCACCAAAGACTTGAGTGGGTTGAATTGGTATGGAAAATTGGAAAATTATAGGTGTTATTATGCCAAAAAGGCACATATGGATGTGATCTAAGTAGTTGTGTATTTCCATATGCAAGTGCATTCTTAAATTGCAATGTATTTGCTATTATGTGAGGTATTGAATCACCAACTTGAGATTTCATCATGAGACATGATATTATTGGATGTTTTATTAAGGAGTAATCTTTGAAAAGTTATTTTTATGTAAAACTTCACACAAGGATATTTCAAAGAATAGTGTATTACTAGTAGTTAATTTTGAATGTGTAAAGTTCAGTGATTGAGATTAAATAGCACAAATAAATGAAAAAAATCACACAACAACAAATATAAATGATTATATTAGTTATATATATATGAAATGCTAGTCAAATTAACCTGAATAAAAATGGAAGGGCTATTGCATGTGACATCAAATCAAATAAGTGTTTTATTGCAAGATGCTTGGTTTTATTAAATGAAAAAAAAGTAGAAAGTAGAAATATTCAAAAATTAAAAGAATGGAATTATAAAAAAAATAGAATAAAGATTGAGCAAAGACAAAGTGTTGTAACATAATAAGAATTAAATGTATTGTATATTAAATATTTTTATGTATTTAAAAAATATATATTTTATAAATAATATATACATATATTATATTTATTTAGAATAATTACAATAAATAAAATTCATTATATTTGAAATGGATATTCATGAATTATCAATAAGTAGCAATTTTTGACTGATTGGGATAGAATAATAGTATAATTAGATGCCACACTTTTCTTGATAGCATAATTAAGTGCGACACTTCTCAGTTTTGTAAAAGCTGGATTCTCAATTTTGTAAACCACTATTAATTGGAATTATGTTGGCTATATGTTAGAAATGAATTGAGAAAAATCTTTAGGTAATTTTTTTACATAAATTTATTTTTAGGCCAAATAATGTGAACTTATAAAGAATCCTTTTCATTTCTATTTCTATATATGGGGATATTTTTATTTTATTTTTACATTTACTGCAAATATGCTAAAATGCTTAAATAATCAAAAATGAGTTGTCTATCTTAGTTTACAATATGTAGACAACTTTTCCATTTCCAACAATACAAATTTCCACTAGCATATATATATATATATATATATACATATAAAATAAAAATATTCATATTTTTTATTATATACTTTATTATAAGAAGTATGAATAAATATGGTGCTTTAATAATCCTACTATATAATATGATTGTTAATTTGAATATTTACCACAAGTATAGGAGGTACTTTTTATACTACTATCCAAGAATAGAAACTTGTTGTAATTTTCTATATTTGAATTTTATCATGAACATCTATAGCATTACTCACGATCAAAATTGTAATTCGAAACTTATTATTGTTATTGTAATTGCATTCACTTACGGATGTATAACTATTTCATCTGAAATATTGAGGAAAATGCCTTTGAACTCTATCTCCATGAACGGAAATGAACGTTCAACTTCATGGTCACACAGAATGAAGAATTGTGCACACATTCCAAGTGGGTCCTTCATTTCGTCAACAAAATTCTACCACCTGGTGCATCCACGTCAACAACTGACGTCCGAGGTATCACATTTTATTAGAAATTTTAAAACTGCGAGCATGGTGATGGATGCTTAGCAGTGCACAGCACTCCAGAATCGCAATCTACCAGAAGGCGATGGCCACATATTTTGTTGCGAAACTAAAACATGAAGAGATTTGGGGAGTTGAAATAGAAGCTCCGCTGCAAGGCCTGATGAACAGCCGCATCACTCTTGAGTCCATTGTGCAGAGTACTGCGCTCTTCTCCGCCGATGCAGCAGCTGTGCTCCATTATCTGCAGCCTTTGCTGGGACCAGGTTTAACATCCAGTATCTTGCAAAAGTACTTGTAGTATTTGATGCGATTTTCTGCTGCTTGGGACACTTTTCCACATTCATGAAATCCGTTGATGATGTTGATAGTAACTCCGAAATCCCGACCAGAGACAATGACGTTGTGGCACGCTGGTTTGGGAGGTTGAGGTGTCATCCAGAACCACAGAGCCGTCTTGAATGCCAAAATCGGATTTCGAGCAACTCTGTCTGGGTCTGCCCAGATATCGACTTTCAATACTTCCGACGCCAGGCGGTAGTTGTAGTTCCTTAGGAAGAGAATGATCACAGATTTATCACAATCAGGAGGCGATCGCCCATGAGATCCGATATGATGTGTTCCAGACTACGTAGAAATGACTCGAGCACTGTGGGTTGGAGTCAAGCGATCCCACTGACGTTGCAGCACTTGACACAATTGTAAACGTTGCCATAACGCTGCGGATGGGTTACGATGGCCTTACCATGACAGTTGTAAAGGACCTCGGCCGTAGTAACTCTTCCCCCGAGCACAGGGGTATCCATTTGTCTTGTCACAGTATGGGCCTCTGGTAGCCATGTGTTCTTCAATATCAGTTAGACCTGCAGCACAGTAAGTGGCATTATGAAATTCAGAAATTGCATTCAAGTTCTCAAGCTGTGTCCACATCGACGTCAGAGGAGTATGACAGTCCTTCCCTAAACCATGTTTTTGAAGCTTTTCACATGGAACACACGACACCCATCGGAAACTACAAAGTGCAGACAATTGCTAGAGCAATTGCAGACTTCTTACGGGCAGTTTCTTGCCAAACGTGCCCGAAGAATGCTGCAACTTCTCGCTTTCGTATGTCAAGGGATCCCGTGGTTGCAAACTTGGGGAACGCCTTAGACGCTGATATGAGAGCAGAATACGTATAAAATTTATTGGGTTTGGGGAACAATTGTTTGAACTTGTCTTCGGGGAGAACGCCGGCAAGTCCTGACTGGCACTCAGCAAGTGTGGACAAGCAAACCACGAGCAGCAACAGAGCAAGTCTGCACGAGGAAACCGAGAGAGGCTTCATCGTTACGAGAATCTAGTCACCAAGAAAACTTGCGAGGAGCCAAAGCAGCGATGGAGTTGTTGGGATAGAAGGAATGCATTCGACATAAATCCACACACTCCATTTATACCGAATCCGCACCACACGGTCAAACATCCTCAGTCAAAGTGCACGCCTGAAGCATTCAAGACATCGTCGGCTCGGATGCAGGAGTGCGAACCAATGTTCCACGATTGTGACCAGTGTTCTGATCACTTTGGCGAGCAATGTTAGTGCAAAGATCTCTTTTTGTCGAAGACCATTTTTGGCTTGCTAGTGTTCAGTCTCTGGGTCGTGGAAATTGATCATTTTTATTCGTAAGGTTTGAGGAAGCGATTTAGAGGCGATGTGTTTGCTATTTTGGACATGCCACGATCAGATTTGCCGCCGTTGTTGATAAATTAAGAGGTTCAACATGCACAGTAATTCTCAATATTTTATTAAAAGGATAGAGTTAATATTCATGTGTTTACAGTGCTTGGAGTATCTTGGTGTGGGCTCGTCACGTATGACGATAGCACTGAGTGGTGTTCTATTATTTTATTTCACTGTATTATCTTCTCTATAGAGAGTAATAGTATTTTCTATCTATTTTGTTTCAGTGCCATGAAAAGTATTTACTTAGTCTTATTATTTCTTGATTTCTATAACTATAAGTTTTTTCTCAGTTTTTGTATTATTTATTAAGTCATGCTAAATCTTAATTCTAGTTTTAATGTATTTAAACATTAAAAGCTTTTATATTTTTTTTGTGTCCTGCTTGTCAAAGTACATAAGTTTAACAAAGTTGACTAAACAACATTGCAACAATAAACAACATCGTTTAAAATTTGGTC